AATTGATTACATCTCCAAAGATCCTATTTTCGAATACCAGAGGTCTGGACTTGAACTACACCCTCTATGTACAAAGTGTATTCACCCTATCCTAACATCATCAATGGATTTAGCCAATTCTTAGAGCATTAACTCTAATTCCAAAATCTTACCTTCTATCCGTGTGTAAGACACTAGGTAAAATTCTTCTCTACCCGTATACCCATGAAACCTAGAACACAAGTTATTTGCTTCTAAAAATCAATGTTGAAAGTGACATAGAACAGACATTGCCATTATGAAAGGGAGAACATAGAAGGAGTAAAAGGGCTACTGGTCTAAAGAAAGATAAAAAACCTGAAATGCAAATTCCCATTAGGTTTCCTGGCTTGAGCATAATTATCTGTGGCTTAATGTTCTGTCCTCTGGCTCCACCCTTACAGCTCACCTGAGTAGCATCCTCTCTCTATAACCAAACCAGTGACCCACCTTCTGGAACCTAGAAAACAATTCCATCTTCTGGAGTCAAAGAAGCGATGACATTGTTCCATAGACATACACCCCTATGAGGCCTTTCTGAACCTCTCTTAGCAGACTTAATGGCTTCTCAGCTATACTTGGAAGTCATTCTTCTCTTTCACTGAAGGATAATACAAGTTCAAAGCTGAATAGTTTTATCATTCTGTTCCATGCTGTAGAATCTCATCTGTCTTCCTTCATTTTATCCTGTGCCTATACTTTCTATTCATAATGACAGTAATCAAATGAAAGTTTATTAGATCCATGTGTCTTACACCTAATCTCTCCTAGAAAGTTTTCCAGATATGTACTTGATGTTCTTTCCAGAATATAATCTCCTTTGTTTTTGTAATACGACTAGATTAAGAATTTTCCAAATCTTCAAGTTCTTTTCTTTTTTTCTTTCTTTTCTTTCTCTCCTTCTCTCTGTATTTCTCTCCAGTCTTCCTTCCTTCCCTCTGTTTCTTTTTTCTCTCTCTTCTTTCTCTCTCTTCTTTCTTCCTTTCTTTCCTTCTTCCTTCCTTTCTCTTTCTTTCTTTCTTTCCTTCTTCCTTCTTTTCTCTTTCTTCCTTCTTTCTTTCTTTCTTTCTTTCTTTTTCTTTCTTTCTTTCTCTCCCTTTCCCTCCCTTTCTCTGTCCCTCTCTTTCTCTCCCTCTCTTTCTCTTTCTTTCTTTTTTCTTTCTTTCTTTCTTTCTTCCTTTCTTTCTTTCTCTCTCTCTCTCTCTCTTTATTTTTTGGCCAGCACTGAGTTAGCAGTACTGAGGTTTGAAACCAGGGCTTCACACTTTCTAAGCAAGCACTCTACCACTTTAACCATACCTCCAGCCCTTAAAAAAAATATAAGATAGACTCTTCTTTGTTCTCTGGTGGCCTGGATAGTAATATTTCTATTTACACTTCCTACAAAAGCTTGGATGTCAGGCATGCACTTTGGTGCTTAGCTTTTTCTATTGAGATGGAAATCTATGAGATTTTTTTTTGCCTGAGGTGGCCCAATCATTCTGAGTTCAGCCTCCCACACAGTTGAGATGACATGCATGTACCACTATACCCAGCCATAGGTTAAGATGATGTTTTGCTAACTTTTTTCCCAGGCTGGCCTTGAACTATAATTTTTCCAATCTCAGTCTCTTGAGTAGATGTGATCCACTTAATAATTCTATTCTGTAATGAATTGTATTCTACTAGTCTCCAAAATTCATATATTGACTTGTTAGCCTCTAAAATGAATATTTGAACACAGAACTTTTAGGAGACAATTAAGTTTAAATGGATCCAATAGGAATGTTAGCCTCATAGGAAAAGAAAGGGGAAAAGAGAGATTTCACGCACTCTCCACATGCATACATTCAGGAAAAGCCATGTAAGCATAAAGAGGAAAAGTGACCATCAAAAATCAGTTAAGACAGTGCTCACTAGGAATCAAATTAGTTGACACTTTTCTCTTGGATTTCTCAGCTTTGAATTATATGAGAAAATAATTTGCTGTATTAATGTATGCTAATAAATAAGTAAATAAAAGAGATTTCTACTGTTTAAGCCACTGAATCCTGAGTGAACTAATACAAATTCCTTCCTCAATGTGTCTCTTTCCTCTTGTATTTTATATGAAAGTAGAGAGTAATCAGACTTTACCTTCCATACTTCCTTCAGCTTATTACTTACACTTTCTACTTTCTACCCAACCACAGAGCCAGTTCTTTGTCACTCTATAAAAAGGATCACCTTTCTGCCAGTTTTCTAAAATGTTTCTCATTTCCATCTGAGATCTCACCAGAAACAGTTTTTTTATTTCCATTTCCTGGACAGAAACCTCTTTAATATTCTTATTTCTAGCAACATTCTGTTGAAGACAATCTAGGTTTTTATTATCATGTGCCTCAAATTTCTTACATCCTTTACCCATTACATATCTGCAAAGCTACCTCCATATTTTTAGGTATTTGTTCCAGAAGCATCTACATACTCTACAAAAATCTTACTCATTTCCTAAGAGTGTTGTAACAAATAATCTCAAACTGTGCTGTTTAAAAAATCAGCAATGTAGTCTCATATTTCTGTAGTCTAAAAGTCTGAATTCAAGGTGTTGACAGGACTATAGTCTCTCTAAAACCTCTACAGGAGGATCATTTTATGCTTTTTCCTGGTTTCTGGAGATCACTGGCAAACCTTGACATTCCTTGGCCTTCAGATGCATCACTCATTTTCTACCTTCATCATGTGTTTGCCATGTCTGTGAGCTCAATATCTTCACAAGGTCTTTTTTATGAATGTGTCCATATTAACCTCTTATAAGGACATCAGTCATTTGATTAGGTCTCACTCCAATCCAGCATGACTTCATCTTAATTTGATCACATATGTAAAGACCCTATTTCCAAACCATGTCATATTCATAATACCAGAGATTAAGACTCAAACATATTTTAGGGGACATAATTCAAAGTACCACATATTCTTATCCAGGGTTGAACGAGAATCTTATTCTATAAATTTTCTTATAGAATAAGATGAACACAGAAATATAAATTCTATTTATTTGCTGAATTTAAGCAATATCATTCAATTCATTCCTTTATATTTAATAATATTCAACATACTACATAGTTAGAATTCTGAATTTCTTCTACCTGATTCTGCAGAACCTTGCAATTTTTTGTTGGTGCCAGCCCTGGTGTTCTCCTTTAGCATTTTTGCTCAAGGCTGATGCTCTACCACTTGAGACATCACTCCACTTCTGGCTTTTGGTAGTTAATTGGAGATAAGAGTCTCACAGACTTTCCTGCCCAGGCTGACTTTAAACCGTGGTCCACAGACCTCAGCTTCCTCAGTAGCCAGGATTATAGTGTGCAGGATTAAACAGTGCAATTGTGACTCTATACTAGAATGATCTTTCAGAATTTGTCTTTTCCAGCATATGATGAGCTCCTGGAGGGCAACAACTGTGGCTTATTACATTACACAATGGAATCTTGTAGTAATTATTTAAGGAGGGGAATAGATTGGAAGGAGGAAAGATGCTTGTTAGAGCTACAGTACAATAACTTGATGAGTAGAAAGAGGCTGGAAGAACTAACTACATCAAGCAACCCACTTGCTACTGATATTCTTTGAGCATTCTAAGGTCTCAAGGTACATGAAATACATTTCATTCACAAAAATTTCAAGGCTATTATTTGATAAGCCTTTAGATAATCAGAATAGCTTTTACTTCTAGAAATGCCCAGGTCAGTACAGCAGTAACTTAGTACATATGTAGCCTGCTAGGGGAAGAGATGAAGATCATAGAGTGCTATGTGCAAGCTGTGCCTAACTTCTATTCAATGACCAAGTCTTAGGAGATCCCTCAATAATTCCCCTTCTAATGACCTACTATAAACTGACATCCAGGAGAATACATAGTCCTTTTCAATGTCTTTTCATAGCTTTATACACTCAACACAGTATAATGTCAAGAATGAAAAGCAGTTTCTATGTCTATGTATACATTCTAAAGGAAGGCAGAGAAGGAGAAAAATCAGACATTCACAGGAATTAGAAAGTCCTATGAAAAAAGTATACCCAGAACAAAGTCAGGGTTTTCAGTGATCACTCTTTCCTTCTCCAATTTACCACAAATGTATTGCTGGTATACATGATGCCTTCCCCCAATCATGAGAGTCAGGCTGTGATATACAGATACAGGATTCATAAGCATGTTAACAATAATACTAAATACAGTACTGTTGATGCCAAACAGAATGTCAGTCAATGAGGACAGAGACTTTGTGTTGTTCATCAAAACATCTAAATGCCTTAAAAAGTACCAACAATATAGTAGTCATTCAACAAATGTGTGTTTAATAAATGAATAATTTATTAAATGAATTAAGTTAACTGGGAGACTGCTGTAGGCAGTCAGAGCATGGTCCTTAGAAAAGAATACTTGAATCAGAAGCTCCTGAGATAGGGAACTAAAGATCCTTTAACTGTTGCCTAGGTTAAGCAACCTCTACTCACTTGGCAGCAATGTGTACCTCCAAGAGGTAGTTAAAACCTGACAAGTAATCCTTTACCTAAAACCTGACAAGTAATCCTTTACCCTGCCTTCAGAGCCCTGACTTCCCATTTTTCTGGACAGAGCACTTGGAAATCACTTCCAATTTACCACCCCCTTTTTGCTTTCTACTTAAAAAGAACAAAGACTGAGGCTAAAAGAACAAATTTTGCTTGTTCTAAATAAGTTTAGTGCTTGGCCAAGCAGTAGAAAGAGCACTGTTCCTGCTTTCAACTCCTATATCAGGATCCTTTCCACTATTTTGCCCTTTCTAAAGCCACTAGCAAAGCAAAAACAAACCAAGAATAAAGCCAGGAATTGGCTCCAACTTTCAGTCTTCTCCTTGGCATGCTCTGACACCTGCATAGCAGACCATTTTAGCTCTAGCAGCAGATTTTCCTTGCTTTTTCCCTAATTCATCTCTGTGATTAATCCTCCATTTTCTCTTCTTTTTTATTTATTTTAGATACCTGCAGCAGAAAATAATCCTTTCCTTATCGGAATGCACTATTGGTATTCCAGCCACAGTCCCCGGACACAGCACTGCAATGTTTGTCGAGAGACTATTCCTGCCTTGTCTAGAGATGCCATCATCTGTGAAGGTACCTATCTGTTTCCTTTCAATGAACCTCAGTAGGTGGAGGTAGAAGTGAAGTTTATGTACCCTTAGTATCATTGACTCATATTAGGTTACAGACTATGTATATGGTTAACGCTGGCCAAGAAAAGGAGAAACTAGCACAAAGGGGAGTTTTCGTGTATAAAAGGAGAGTTGGGTATGAGAGAATGGGACTATATAATTACAGGATTGGAAAGGCAAAAATTACTTCATTCCTACCATTAAGTTCCATTCAAGTTGGAGAATACAAATTTTAACCACTAAGAATCAAAACGAGGCTGAAGCCAACTCAAGCAGGAAAGTCTGTGAAACTCTTATTTACAATTAACTACCAAATTGCCAGAAGTAGAGCTGTGGCTCCAGTGGTAGAGCACTAGCCTTGAACAAAAAAGCTAAGGGACAGTGCCCAGGCCCTGAGTTCAACCTCCAGTGCCATCATAAAAAGAAAGAATCAAAAGGTTCTGGTTTATATCTGAAATAAGGCCATTGGAAGTGAGTCAGAACCAATTAGAATCATGTGGATTCTAACTTTCAGAGTGGCTTAAGAAAGGGAATTCAAATTGTTGTCACTAGATTCACGTCCATTCTTTTTCTTCTCTTCTCACAGTGTGCAAAGTTAAATCTCACAGATTATGTGCTTTGAGAGCTAACAAAGATTGCAAGTGGAATACCTTGTCTATTACTGATGACCTCCTGCTGCCTGCAGATGAAATAGTAAGTACTAGTTGTGCCCTTCCATAGTCATCCTCTCCTGTGCCCTCAATTCAGGCATGACACATAAGAATAGAAAGACTTCTTCTTAATTTAAAAAACAGAAGACTTCTTCCTGTCACTAGACAAGCAAAGTAGGCCTTTTTCCCTGGCTCTCAATCCAGTCAAACTCAAATAATTAAAACTCCACTTCTATCTTTCATTGGTTACTACCATTGGAATAGGGAGAGCAGGATCACTAAGAACTTGAGGTTTTGACCTAATGTCTTCCCTGCATCCTACAATTATTCCAGCCGGCCCTTCTTTCCTTTCATCACTAACATCTATTTTTTGTCTTTTTGTTCCTTTCAGCAAACAATGCCCCATCAGTGGGTAGAAGGAAATATGCCTATCAGCTCTCAATGTGCAGTATGTCATGAGAGCTGTGGCAGTTATGAAAGACTTCAAGATTTCCGCTGTCTCTGGTGCAATGCTACGGTAAGACTCTTCCCATCTCATTGATAAAAAACTTAGCTTCTAGAGGAGGGGTGGAGTGAAGCTTAATAGTGCAGACATAGCTAGAAATTTCAGATTCCCTTATCCCAATATATTATATAGATTCCACAGTATAGATTTCAGTATCTTGTCCTTCTAGATCTAGCTATAGAATCTGTGGGAGAAAGATTTAAGATGCTTAAATCTGATGATTCTTAATTGGTGGGATCTTCTAGCAAATAGTAAAAGCTGAACTTTCTTCCGTCTAACGCTCTCCCAACTGAGCTATTTTGGCGAGGGTGAAAAGCTAAACTTTCTAATGGTGATAGAATAGGCAATTAAAAATAGAATTCAGAGTCTATCCTTAAGAAATTTCTTCCTTCTTCATTCAATACTCCTTAAAGACTTGGAATCTTTATAAATTAATAATGGCTTATAATATGATATGAACAAATTATCATTACTATTGTGTACTGAATATTTTTATATTCATTATATCAGTCCTTACAACAATTTTAAATTGACTTTATTGTACCCATTTTACAGGTGAGAAAAGTGAGGTTAAGTAAGGTGAAGTGATTTGTCTAAGATCATGCAACCAGAAAACATTGCTTTAATTATTACATAATTCTGTAAAGACCAGGCTGCTAACTACAAACACTGCCATGCCTCTAAACCAGTGGTGCTTAACTGGGGGTAATTTTGTCCCTCCTCCCCCAGCCAGGAAGTCATAGGCAATGCTTAGAGATATATTTGATTCTTACAACTTGAGGGGAGGAGAAGTGCTGTTGGTAGTAGTAGGCCTCTAGTAGGTAGAGGCCTAGAATTCTACTAAACTTCCTACAATATACAGGATAAAGCCAAGAACTATCTAGCCCAAAATATCAACACTGATGTTGAGAGATGCTAATTTAGACTTTCTGTTAAATGCATCCCTCAAACTGTTTTCTTTTTGTCTTTTTTCCTTGAGGGTGTCAGTACTGGGGCTTGAACTCAGGGCAACTCACACTTGCTTGGTTTATTTCTCACAAGGCTGGCACTTTATTACTTGGCCCACACCCCACTTCCAACTTTTGTTGGTTATTTGGAGATAAGAGTCTCATGAACTTTTCTTCCCAAGCTGGTTTCAAACTTTGATCCTCAGATCTCAGTCTCTTGAGTAGCTAGATCACAGGCATGAGCCACCAGTGTTCAACTCAGCCTGAATCTTCACTGAAGACTCTTGTTTCTCCATTTACTCTCTTTTAATTGCTTTTGAATAACCCAACCAGTTCCAGTTCCCCATAGAAATTGTGTAATTAATTATCCAGTCCTCAGAAATGCCAGAAATCTAAGAAGAATAACCACTTTTAGCCATTCAATTTTTTTCAGCTCTCAGCTCTTTGACCTTAAACAAGACCCTTTACCTTTGGCATATGCTCATTTTGCAAGATGAATCTAATAATGTCTTCTTTATCATACATTATTGTTGTAAGGACTGAAGTGTAAAACCATTTTACCAGGAATAGGACTCATACTGAAAGAAAGCTTCTCATTCTGTGGGTTTCTAAGATTGAACCAAAACTAATGACTTCTCAATACCTGTAGATAGGTATCTTCTGAAATTCACCTTTGAAAGGACCAATGTTTTTCCGCATTCAGGGCAGGCTCAAGGTGAAGTAGGGGTAGTCAGGTAAATTAGTATATATAAAGCTAGGTCAGAAAGGGAGATTTGAATATTATCTAATTCTTTGTATTGGAACTCGAAACTGATCAAAGCTCTTCTTTTCTCTCCCCCTCCTTTTTTTCTCTGCTCTGTTCTTATCGTTTCAGGTGCACAGTGACTGTCGGAGACGGTTTTCCAAGGAATGTTGCTTCGGGACTCATCGCTCATCCATAGTCCCTCCCACAGCTCTGAGCGATCCCAAAGGCGATGGTGAGTAGCTAAATCTTAACTTCAGAAATATACTGAGGGAGGAAGGGAAGAAAGGAGGGAGGAAAAAGGGAAAGGAGGGAAGGAGGGAGGGAAGGAGGAGGGTGTAAAGGCCAAGAGAAAGCATCAGTGCATCTTCGTTGAATGAATGGATGCATCAATGTGTCAGAATTAGCATTACATCAACATTTGTTTAAAAATGCTGATAAGGATATTACTTGTACTCAGAGAAAGTAACTACTTCCAAGCTAAACTACTGATGGGACCCAGTAGGCTCCTTTTGTAGCTCCAAGTCCTGACAAGCCCTGGAATTTTGGTGCTTGACTGTTTGGTTTAGAATGCCTTCAAACTCTACTGGCCAGTGAATGGGAATTGTCCCATAGAGAAAGACTTCATAGACTCTTTCCAGACCAAACAGCCATGAAATCTCTTCAAGGAGATATTCTTCTGGCTCCTTTTCATGCAGGTTACAATAAATCGTATATCTCAGCCCACACATCCTACTTAGAAGTGAGCCACATGTTTTTCCCCTGTGAATCCTCTTTTACTGGGTCATCTCTGGAAAGTTATGAACTCAGAGGTTTGGGGAATTGCTATTTGTCCAGCAGCCCTCACCTAGGAGGCCACTGTTTCCTGCCTAGCTCCCTGCCAACATCAAGACTGAGCTCATGAGCTGGCAGAGCTTGGCTATTTAGTGTTACAACTCCACTTCTCCATGGATGACCTCAATGTTGAGGATTATTAAAAGCCTCTCTCTTTTCCAGATAATTTCTCTTTAGACTTGTTTCCTCTGAAAGTGGTTTGATAACATTGAATTGGCTCTACCAGAGATGTAGAGAAGTGATTATAATTCTTTGTTTCACCACATGCCAATACGTTCTCCAACTACCTCCACCCTAAATGACAGCTTTTCTTTCCCCTCTGCTGTCCTGATATCTTCTCACTGTGAGAACTGAGGTAACACAAACAGAGAGAACTAGTTGGAGTGTTGATCTTTCTCCTAAGCTCTCAGTTTTCTCCTTCCTTAGTTTCTCCACAGAGTTTCACTAACATTTGGTGTGGCATATGTTTCTTTACTCCTTGAATTTTAACCCACTTGTTTGTGTATGCATTTGTCTCCTCAGCTTGGGGGCAAGAGCTAGTATGTAATAGTTGCTACAACAATGCATTTTTGTCTAGAAATAGTTGAAAAAGACTTTCAAGTCCCTTTTGCTGAGGTCTTGACTTTGGCCTTTAATCTCAAGAGACTAGGATCTGTGCTCAAAAAGTCTTTGTAAACTAGTTACAGTTGCTCATGCCTGTTATCACACCTATTTAAGAGTTGGAGATTGGAAGGAATGTGGTTCAAGGCCAGCCCAGGCAAAAATATGCTGAGACTCCATCTCAGTCAATAGTTGAATGTGGTGTGTGTGTGTGCGCATCTGAGATCCCAGCTATGTGGGAAGTATACATGGGAGGATCATAGTCCAGGCTGCCCTGGGCATAAATGTAAGATCCTATCCAAAAAATATCTAAAGCAAAAAGGGCTGGGGTCTTGGTTCAAGTGGTAGAGTACTTTCCTAATAAGCATGAAGTCCTGAATTCAACTTTCAGTACTGCTTTTATAAATTTTTTTCAAAATGTGATGCTAAATTATTTTTTCTCATTTCCATCAAAATGACCTGTTTTTTTTTCTCCTTTCTCTTTTTTTCTCTGTCTGTCTCAGGCCAGTTAGTAGTATCTTCAGACTTCTGGAATCTCGATTGGTCATCTGCTTGTTCATGCCCTTTACTCATCTTCATTAATTCCAAAAGTGGCGATCATCAAGGGATCGTCTTCCTCCGAAAATTCAAGCAATACCTTAATCCGTCTCAAGTGTTTGATTTATCAAAGGGCGGGCCTGAAGCAGGGTAAGTACAATGTAAGCAATAGAGCTTTCCTCTATACATTCTAGACTAGAATAGGTTCCTAGAATCAATCCTTGCACCTGGGCAGGTACACAAGCATATACCTCCAGAGCACTTGGGTTTGATTAGTTGAAGAACTTTTGGTTCTTTCTCAGAAATCCTTTCAAGCTCATGTCCTGCTCCCCAATTTTTTTTTACCACTTCTGATTAAAATAAATAAAACTAGGGGCTGGGAATGTGGCTTAGTGGTAGAGTACTTGCCTAGCATCCATGAAGCCCTGGGTTTGATTCCTCAGTATCACATAAACAGAAAAGGCTAGAAGTGGCATTGTGGCTCAAGTGGTAAAATGCTAGCCTTGAGCACAAAGAGGCTCGGGGACAGTCCTAGGTCCTGAGTTCAAGCCCCAGGACCAGCAAAAAAATAAAATTATGCCTTCAGAAGAAGCAGCAAATGGATATTTCTGTCCATCTGTTCTTTCTTTCCCTGGGGATTACACACAAGCATCACTACTATAGGCCTATTTAATTTTTAGACCATCTGGCTGCTCAGTCCTGGTTGCTTTGAGTTCACTGGCACTCTGCAATGCATTGCAAATGGGCTAGAATACGTTACTAATAGCTTCCACAGCAAGGCTAGACACAATAGAATATAAGTTGAGGCAAGGCATGATCTCTGAGATTGTCTGTGAGTATACCCAGAGATAGAGGCTAAGGAAAAGAAGGCAAGTAGTCTGTTATAGGGATATCCTAGCACTTGAGTCTTGATACACTGTAGGACAATTATTTTTTTAATATAGCTATTCATGAAATGATCATTTCCCTATCTTCTTTCCAGGCTGTGTATGTTCAAGAACTTTGCTCGTTTTCGTGTTCTGGTCTGCGGTGGAGATGGCAGTGTGAGCTGGGTGTTATCTCTGGTTGATGCCTTTGGATTACATGAAAGGGTAAGTCCTTGATTGACTCAGTTTAGCCATTGCTAGAAACATCAAGGGTACAGAACTGGCCACTCCAAAAAGTCCAAAGTTTTTACTCTCCCTGACAATAAAATGTGTATATTCTACAAGGCCAAAAGCTAATTTGACAAATTTAGCCATTTTCCAGTCATCTCCCCATGTGAAAAAGATTGGAAAGAGTAGGCAGGGGCTGGGAAGGTGGCTCAGTGGCAGAGTGCTTGCCTTGCATGCATGAGGACCTGGGTTTGATTCCTCAGCACCACATAAGCAGGAAAAGCTGGAAGTGGTGCTGTAGCTCAAGTGGTAGAGCATTAGCCTTGAGCTGAAAGGCTGAGGGACAAGTCCCAGGCCCAGAGTTCAGGCCCCACGACCAACAAAAAAAGAGTAGGAAGCAAAAAAATGAGTAGTAATCATTCCCTAAACTTGAAAATGAAGAGCCAAAAGGGAAGAGAGTAAACAAAACAAAGGGGCCACAAGCTTTCTTTGATCTCTCCCCCAGTCTCTAGGTAGCCAGCCCCTCTATTCTGATTCTAGTACTTTTCTTTTCTGAGGAGTTTTAATGTATTCCAGTAACGTTCTACTTTACTGAGTAGTTTATTGCTAAAAGTGAGGTCCAACTCTTTAAGGACAATCACATACAACTTCTGATATCCTTCTATTATAGTTCCTAGAATCTAAAGGATGTTTCCTTCTATTCATACAGTGTCAGCTGGCAGTCATACCGCTTGGAACTGGCAATGATCTGTCCCGTGTCCTGGGTTGGGGTGCATTCTGGAGCAAAAGCAAATCACCACTTGACATCCTCAACAGAGTGGAACAGGCTAGCGTGAGGACTCTTGACAGGTGAGTTCCAGTTCATATCAGTTACTCCCAGTTCTATCATCTCCATCAGGAATATTCTCACACAGAGAGCCCTGCATCCTTTTTGGACTCAGTGTAGGCAAGTTCGTCTTTTGGGAAGCCAGAGTCTATAATGTATCTGTTAAATTCATTGAAGCCCCTCTTCAAACCTAAAAGATCTGTGAGAAGGGATCTCACAGCTATATTTCAAAGATCCTGTGAACCCCCTTTAATTACCAAAAGAGTAGTTTTCCTTTGGGAAATCTTATCTATATATATCAGATTCTCAAACAAAGGAAAAGTTTGTTAATAATTGCAGACAAGAGAGACTATTGCCATACTATCTCCAAAAAGGAAGACTTTCTAGGCTACAGAATATTCAGGTATTTGTTTTATGCTTGTTCATAAAGATTTAGTAGGGCACTCTTTTTTAGTGGGGTACTCTTTTAAGATACTTATCTGGGCCCAATACAAAGGACTTTAGTAGGACTTGGGCAGGGTCCTGTTTATGTGTATGTTACCAAATCACCTCCAATGATCTTGATGCTACCTTTGGTTGGGAATCACTGTTCACTGAGAGCCCTGGGAAGAATAATTTCCATTCCACTGGCCTAGAGTAATCATGAGGCAGTCTCCTTTTGTGGTAAATTTTGAGACCAGGTGGCCAGAGGTTGCTAAAGTACTCCTTATAACCCACCTCCCTCCACCACACAAACATTGTAAGTTCTTTCTTGACATGATACGTGGATTCCAACCTATGATAAAGCAGAACTCTAAATATCTGCCTTTGAACTTCATTTCAGATGGAGTGTGATGATTCGCGAGACTCCCAGAAAAGTTCCACTGCTAAAAGGACAGGTTGAAATGGATGTACCAGAATTTGAGGTAACTACTACCGTGCTGTAATTCAGGTCAACATATTTATCACGAATGAAGTAGTGGGCAGATTCCCCAAAAGAAGCTTTTCTATTTCTACAGACTTAATAAGGATGAGATGGTTGAGGACTATGAACAAGTTAATCAGTTAAGGAATGTGTTAGGCACTGGGGATAGAATTCCTTCAGCTATTTCAAAATATTTATGAGGTAACTACTATATGTAAAATACTAGTCTAGGAGTTGTTCTTATGCTAGTGAGTAAAGAAGAATGGCATAGTTGTTGCTGTCATGGAGCACATAGTATACTTGGAGAGATAGAAAAATAATAAAGTAATATGAACATAAGGAAGTAGAAGTACACATAGATGATAGAGAAGGGAGATAGAAAGAAAAAGAAAGAAAGAAAGAAAGAAAGAAAGAAAGAAAGAAAGAAAGAAAGAAAGAAAGAAAGAAAGAAAGAAAGAAAGAAAGAAAAAGGAAAGAAGGAAGGAAGGAAGAAAGAAAGAAAGAGAGAGACAAAGAAAGAAATTATATCAATCTGGGTGGGGTCTGCAAAATCTTCTTAGAATAAATGCCATCTAAGAAGAGACTAGGACAAGTTAAGCAGAAAAATTGGAAAGTATAAGGCTGTTATAGACAAATGGATTAGGCATGCATTGTTCCAAAGGTAAGAATAGGTATAGAATATCACAGAACTGAAACATATTTATAATGGCTAGAGAAGAGAGAGAAGGAGGGTAAGAGAGAGAGGAAAGAAGACAGGGAATAGAAGAGAAGATGAGGAGAGGAGAGAGGAAAGACAAGACAAGCAATAAGGGGCCAGACCAGGAAGGCTTTGTAAACCATGGTAGGAAGTTTAGACTTTTATCCTAAGACTAATGAGAATTCTAGAGGGGGTTCTTCTGTATCTTATGATTTAAAAAATTCCAAGGGCTGAAGGTGTGGCTCAAGTGATAGAATACTCACCTAGCAAGTACAAAGCTCTGAGTTCATGTTCCAGTACCATTCCCATCCTCCCCCCAAAAAATTCTAGACATTTCAGCAGAGGAGCTGAAATGGTAGATTTTATCATCAATATTTTTCACCCTATTTGATTTAATACATATCCAGCAACCAATCCATGCTTCTATATAACAATAGAGTTTTAAGTGGAGGGATTCTATAGTTCTATAATTGCTTCTATAATTCTAGCAACAGGAAGAAAATCTAGGAGATGCTAAAATTGCCTATGCAAGAGATGATGATTTCAACTGCTGAAGTAGTAACAGTAATAAGGAGAGTTGAACATATTTGAGACAAAATGGAAAATGAGAATTATCAGGACTTAGTAAATTTTTGAATGTAAGGAGTGATAGAGAGCATGAAGTAACTGTAATTAAGAGAACATATACAAGACCCAGACTAGCTGGAATCCAGTCTAAGCTTCTTCTTCTTTGTGCTTCAGTTTTCTCCTCAGTGAAATGAGGATAATCTTAATCTGTTAATATAGTTACTGAGATTACATAAAAACTATATATATATATATATATGTATATATATATATATATATAAAACAGAACAAAGCCTAGAACATATATAAGTAGATACTGTTATTAGTAGTAATATTATTATTTAAGAGGTAACATGCTGATATTGAAAAGATATGAATATAAATCAAATTTATTTACTAGCTATATAAGATTGTTTACTCAGCCAAAACATGGAACAAACAGTAACCCATTTACATTAGTTTTTTATGATTAATTGATTAATTTAACTTAGAAAAATCAAGTTAGAGTAGTTTTAGAATGACTACAGATCCAAGATGATCTCTGGTACCCTTCTATGAGAATTCTCTAATTGTGATTAAAGCAGAGTTGTTGGTGAAGCATGAGGGAGCAATAAGACTGTAGGGAATGAGGGTAGACAGCACACAAGGTGCAAGTGTTAAGATTCTGGGACTGAGCACTTTTTCCCTTAGGCTGCTGCTATCCAACACTTGGAGTCTGCAGCCACTGAGCTCAACAAAGTCCTAAAGGCCAAGTATCCCACAGAGATGATCATCGCTACCAGGTCAGTCTTCCTTTGGTGCATTTTCTTAGTCTTTATGGGCTGTTCCAAGGTCAGATATGGGGCTCATTTTGATAGTGCAGAGTGTCAAGGCCAAGGAAAATATGTTTATATTTCCAAGTCAGATTTCTCCCAACTCAAATCTCTGATTAGAAAGTTTAAGAAAGGGCTGGGAAGGTGGCTCAGTGGTAGAGCGCTTGCCTTGCATGCATGAGGCCCTGGGTTTGATTCCTCAGCACCACATAAGCAAAAAGAAAAAAGCCGGAAGTGGTGCTGTGGCTCAAGTGGTAGAGTGCTAGCCTTGAGCTGAAGAGCTGAGGGACAGCGCCCAGGCCCAGAGTTCAGCCCCACGACCAGACCAAAAATAAAAAAGAAAAAGAAAGTTTAAGAAAGAAAGATGAAATTCAGGTGAGGCTTCCTGCTGATCTAAAAAGACAAAGTCATAAGCCAGGTATTTGGAAGGAATGTTACAGAAGAATGTAAGGTATATTAAATAAGTAGGTTTCATTAGGTAGCTGATGAAGAGAACATCAAGCGCTATTCAGACAGGAGAAGAAGTTTATTTACTGAACTGCAGAAATTTATTTACTGAACTGCTGCCCCCAGCGTGCATAGTGGAGAGGCATGGCTGAAAAGGAAAGGGGGTGACCCACCCTAGGTCAGGATTTATCTAGGGGAGGGACAGGAAGAGGTGTGGCCAGGTGGGGGAAAGGTGTGGCCATACTGATTCTGGATGTGACCTCAGGGTCAGGGACCCTCCTAATGTCAGATGGGAGGTATGTGACTAGAGGTGGCCCATGATGTGACCTAGCAAGAGGGGAAGGTGACTGCTTCCAGGTCTGCCAGTTACCTAGGTAACAGATACTGGGCAGAAACTTAGACAAGAGGTAGAGAGGTGTCCCTGTGCAGACCTTACAAAGAGAAGCACAACATGCCAGACCATTCAACAGTATAGACACCTTGTTTTCCATCTTTGACACTGGAAAAGGTCTCTGTAGCACTTATTTATAACTAGCAGCTATTGTATAACTTAGTAACACATCCTCCCTTCTATGTGGATCATTTATTCCTTCCAGAACTCTCGTTTGAGTAATACTCTTCACAAAAGAGCTCTCCTAAAGTCACTATGTTTGTATTTTATCATCTCAGCTGACTAATGCAGAATAAAACGTCTGACCAGAGATGAATCTGGAGATTCAGAAATAGGACTAAGAAATGCCAGTCAATCTGCCTTAAGTATTTCACGTAAGAAGTGGTGTGAAAATTAAATGGAGATAGAACTTATCTGGCCATAAGTACAATGGGAAAAAAAACAAAGAAGGAAGTGATGAGGGGAGATCAGAAAAGAGACAAAGAGGAAGAGAAAGAGAGACTAATGATTTTATAAGATAAAAGGGCTCTGGGATTTACAGAGCACAGCACATCATGCATTCTATCTTATCTTTCCAGATTCCTATGCTCTTCAGCAGAAGATTTTGTGATTGATATTGTAAAGACCTGGCAGCAGATAAAGCAGAACAACACAGCAGTAGAGTCTGTGATTTTGAAAGTAAGTTTCCTGGGGCTGGGAAGGTGGGAAGGTGCCTTGCATGCATGAGGCCCTGGATTTGATTTCTTAGCACCATATAAGCAGAAAAAGGAGGAAGTGGCGCTGGTAGAGTGCTAGCCTTTAGCTGAAGAGCTAAGGGACAGTGCCCAGCCCCCACGACTGACAAGAAAAAAAAAGAAAGAAAGTTTCTTTTCCTTTTGTCTATATTCTTTGTGGAACCAAGATCCTCTTTTCAATAAAAGCAAATGTGCCTCTTACTGGAAATTGTAAAAGAAAGACAGAGAGAAGCAGCTAGTAGCCTTCTTAATAGAGAAGGTCCAATTTCATCATTTTCCATCTTTGCCAAATGGAAAAATTATGCTATGCATTCATATACAAGTGCCACAAGCATCCACTCACAGCATACACCCAAGTATATATGTGCACTCTGGTTATATATGAGATGATTTTTGGAAATAGACGCCTACAAATACACACTAGAAATATGCCTATATTCACCTCTATAACACTAGCCAACATTTATATAGCACTTACTCTGTACCAGAGAAGATTTTGCATGCTTCTGATGTGTTTGTTAATTTATTTAATTCTCAGAGTTGCTGTAGAGTATGGATGAACACAGTTAAGTAACTTGCCTGAATCCATAGAGGTCAATGTAGATGAGTGGTAATATAAAGGGGAGGATAGAGAATGACTGATAATGAGTAGTAGGTTACTTTTGGAAGGAGGAAATCTTGTAAAATTAGATAGTGTGATGGCTATATAACATTGTGAATATACTATAAACTATCAAATTACATGCACTTTAAAAAGATAGATTTTATGATATATTGAATCCAAATAAAGTTTTTAATAAAATGAGTATGCCAGGACCAGTGACTCATGTGCCTATAATCCTAGCGACTCAACAAGCTGATATCTGAGGATCTCAGTTCAAAGTCAGCTCAGGCAGAAAAGTCCATGAGACTCTCATCTCCAGTTAATCACAAAAAGCCAGAAGTGGAAGCATGGCTTAAGTGGTAGAATGCCAGTCTTGAGCAAACTAAGGGAGAGTGCCCAGGCTTCTGAGTTCAAGCCCCAGTAATGGCACAAAGGAAAAAAAAAAGGATTAATCAGTCTGACAAAGGAGCAAGTCTGCCAGAAATCTTTTTGGGAACTCAGTGAAGAAGAAGCTGCTCTTATCTGGAAGAGGGAAGTAGGGGAAGGGAAAAAAAAAACTGTGATCAGTTCTTCACTAATTACAAAATCTGTACTTTCTATGATTACTATTAAAACAATAAAAGCTTGCTCATTCAAGAACAAGTAACTTACCTTACATCATATTCATCCATTAAATGATGGCTCTAGGAATCAATGTCTTAACTCATGCAGCAGATTTACAACCTCAATCATATATATATATATATATATATATATATATATATATATAGAGAGAGAGAGAGAGAGAGAGAGAGAGAGAGAAAGAGAGAGAGAGAGGGGCACATTCATATCTATAGAAGCATGTGCCACTGTAGACATGTTTCTTTCCTAAACTTGCCATGTTATGCATCATCATTTTATAGGCCAATCTGACTTGAGATAGATTAGGAAACCTATATAGATGTTTCAGGCTGCTCAGAAACTAATGTATTTGCTCCACTATCATGCATTTGGTATCACATCTACCCGTATAGTTTTTACCCTCTGTACTTCATCACCTCACACATGACTTTGTGTGCTCAGCATTTCTGTGCAACTATGGCCACCCTTCCCTATACATCCACATTCCTCATTCTGTCCTCTCAAGCACTGGTCCTTCATGACAATGTCCCATCTTGTTTCTTCATTTTTAGAGTGACTTAATGTATGATAAGCTCAGTGTCCTGATTGATATCCTGGCTGAGGAGGCAGCAGCTACCTCAGCTGAGAAAAGTGAAGATGATGGCATAGCAAGTGGAACGCCCTTCTTCATCTCTCAAACGGACCAAATAACCAAATGCAAGTTGGATCTGGCCACAAGAGCCAAGAATCTCCAGAAATCCTTGAAACTCATCATATTCCAAGTTGAACAAGGTAAGAACACCAGGCGTGTGGTAATTGGGTAGGGGAAAGAGAAAGTTTCAATGGATTGAACAGTATCTGACCTCATTACCAAAAGCTTGACTAGATTCTGCATTCATGTTTCACTTGAAGTCAGTCTTAAAAAAAAATAAGTATTTTTTGAAGTCAGTCCTCAGACAACTCATGTGAAAAGTTACAATCAGTCCCTATGAGCAATTCCTTTGACTCCTTCTTCCTCTTAACCTCTCAACTATCTCTACTTAGTTATTTTATTTTATTTATTTATTTATTTATTTGGTCGTGGGGCCTGAACTCTGGGCCTGGGTGCTGTCCCTCAGCTCTTCAGCTGAAAGCTAGCACTCTATCACTTGAGTATCAGCCCCACTTCTGGCTTTTTCTGCTTATGTTGTGCTAAGGAATCAAACCCAGGGCCTCATGCATGCAAGGCAAGCACTCTACCACTGAGCCACCTTCCCAGCCCTCTTAGTTATTTTGAGAACATTCACACTAAACAATTACAGGTGCTAAGTGGCCTGGCTCAAAGCTCTGTGGGATTTCACCTGTAGTCATGGACTTTTTTTCTACATGCTCGTGTCTTTTTCTAACCATCAGGTCTACTCACTAGCTTATGACTATTTTGTTTAAAAAATGGTGCTCATCTCTGCATGTCTGACAGTATTAATTGGGCATAATGGCCCCAAGAGTTATCCTGGTGGCTCTGACACAGATTGCCATTGCTCAGAACACTTGATAGTTTTCAAACTAAGTATAAAAAAACCAGGTGCCTCAACTTCCTCATATAACATTTTGGTGACTATCTCTTCCCTATCATGACTGAAAAACAGAGTGGTAAGATAGTATAAGATTCAGAGTATCCTAATTTTGATCTTTGGTAAAAATTTTGTACCAACTAATCTATTGAAATTAAGCAGAAGTTCCATAAAGCAAAGGAATCCCCTTTGCCTGGCCTTTGACTTTTATTTGTGATACCTTAACCTGCCTAGATAACTTTAGATATAACCTCAACCATGTTGCTAAGAAAGAAAGGAAACTTCTCTTCTTCAATATGAAAGAATTAAACACGTAGCCTTTATTTCTATATGATGAAAGTTAGATTAATCTGACACAGCCATCACTGTCACAACTGACCCTCAGTCTGTTTCACTAACACATATATTAGATTTAGAAGTGAATCTTGTGTCTAAGGGACAAATAAATGCTTCCTTATAAAGGACAGATTGAATGTACGAGCTTTGGTACGGGCTAAGAACCAGAACTATAAAACATATAGATTGCTGAAAGGAAGGAACTACCTCAGATGTGGTAGGTATGGATGAGATATCTAAGTAAAAGGGTAGCATGATCCTAGAGGCACATGGCTGGACAAGTCATGTGAATAAATGAATGAGTGGAATGAAAGTAGAAGGGCAAAGTATTTTCTACTCTGTTATCCCTACCCAGGACTCAAGGTTCTACTCATAACCATGTGTGGTAGGTGATGAACAGAGTATCCAGGGAAACAGAAAGTTTGGGCATGAAAAAGACATGGCAACAATGCAATATGGAAGCCAGAAGTACTTAAAGCATCACTGAGGATAGGTGGTAGTGAAAATGAGGGTCTCCTTGTCTACATACTGATTGACATTTAATACATTAAACAGATGCTCAACAAATGTTCAATGAATGTGACTAATCCTCCCTCCCTGTCTTTTGTAGTTCTGGACAAGGAAACCAGACAAACAATATCAGTCAAGAACTTTACATCAACTTTACTCCTGGGAGATGAAGACTCAGAAGATTTTAACCAGATGAGCCCAAGACACCGTAAGACTCTTTCTTTATTTCTAATATTCTAGCCTTCATCACTGTCATTTAGTTCCCAAGAAGAAAATAAATATTTGTTATGCATTCCTCTTTAGCCATAATCCTTCTTTGAAGTAGAGGGAGGAACCTCCCTCTTTTCCAGAAACCCCACACTGTAAGATCCCTCTATATTATCTTATATCAGGCTATCCTTATGAGAACCAAGATTAGGGAATGCCTTAACTGCCAACAAGCAAGTAGCATAATCTTGGTATTTATTTTTTATTTTTATTTTTTCCTGAGGCTTGAACTCTGCGCTTGGGCGCTGTCTCTGAGCTCCTTTGGTTCAAGGCTTAGCACTCTACCACTTGAGCTACAGTACCACTTACAGTTTTTTCTGTGATTTATTTGGAGATAAGAGTCTTACAGACTTTTTCTGCCCCAGCTGGCTTCAAATGGTGATCCTCAGATCTCAATTTCCTGAGTAGCTAGGATTATAGGTGTGAGCCACTAGCACCCAGCTTCACTGTCCTTCTAAGAAGATTCCCCTTTCAGATGCTGGAAATGTGGCTTAGTGGTAAAGTGCTTGTCTAGCATGCATGAAGCCCTGGGTTTGATTCCTCAGCACCACATAAACAGAAAAAGCTGGAAGTGGCACTGTGGCTCAAGTGGTAGAGTGGTATCCTTGAACAAAAGAAGCTCAAGGACACTACCCAGGCCCTGAGTTCAAGACCCAGGACTGGAAAAAAAAGATTCCCCTTTCAAATGAGATCTCTGAATATTATTTAGCGGAAAGTCATTGAGCTTAACTTTCCTCCAGCAGAGAAAACAGGGTTGAGCACAAGTAGGGAGAAAGAGGTTTTTGTTTGCATCAGACTCCAATGTTATATTTGTGTCTAGGTTCTCTTCATGGTACACTGTCTTCTATCCCTTCTCTCAAGAGTGAGGACCTAGACAACCTTAACTTGGAACATCTACATTTTAATCCTGAAACAATGTAAGTATTTAACCCTATTATGGTTTTGGATGTGTGTGTGTGTGTGTGTGTGTGTGTGTGTGTGTGTGTGTGTGTGTGTGTGTGTGTGTGTGTGTGTGTGTGTGTGTGCCTGTCCTGCAACTTGAACTAAGGGCCTGGGTACTGTCCACAGCAATACTTCTGGTGGTTAATTGGAGATAAGAGTCTCATGGACATTCCTGCCCAGGCTGGCTTAGAACCTCAATCCTCAGAACTCAGCCTCCTGAGTAGCTAGGATTACATATGTGGGCCACGAGCACTGGCTCTAAACTGATTATCTTTTAATGGTATCTTCCTTTGTTTGGTTAAGAGCATAGTATCAGAATATTAAGTGTCAATTTTTTTTTTTACTTTTGGGTTTTTTTTTAAATTTAATTTTATTTGTGAACATACTGTACAGAGGGGTTACAATTACATGGGCAGGATAATGCGTACATTTCTTACCAAGCATTGCAGCCTCCTCCTTTGATTTACCCTTCACATCCCTTCCCAGCCTCCCCCCTCCCCCCCAATCCCAATCCTTCTCCTTCCCTCCCTTCCCCCCCCCCCCTGCACCGATGTTGTAAAGCTCGTTTTGGACATGACAACTTGTACTTCTCATTGTTGCAACAGGTCCACCTGTATCCTTAAACAACTGGTTTTTCCCCATCTCCTCCACAAGTTATACTGACATCAAATATAGTGAAAGCAGGGGTTATACTGCGGGGGAGGGACATACAAAGCAACAAAGAGATAATCTTATAAATGCGTTAGAAACACATGCATGAAAGAAAAAAACATTAAAATACATATCTAAGGGTTCATTTTCCTGACATCACTTTATCTGACCTTTTCCGCTTGACTCATACATATACTAGATATTGCAAATAAGGGAAACCATGGGACCTATGTTTCTTTGGGCCTGGCTTACTTCACTTAATATAATTTTTTCCAAGTTTTTCCATTTCCTAACAAATGGGGCAATGTCATTCTTTCTGATGGAGGCATAGAATTCCATTGTGTATATATACCACATTTTCTTGATCCATTCATCTACTGAGGGGCATCTGGGTTGGTTCCATATCTTAGCTATGGTAAATAATGCTGCAATAAACATTGTTGTGCTGGTAGCTTTAGTGTGGTCTTGTTTGTCAATTTTTTTTTTTTACTTTTGGGTTTTTAAAAAAATTCTTTACTCGTTTTTACTTTTTTATTTTTTATGAGTCAAATCTTTTTTTGCTTCTATACATTAATTCTAATTATTTTGAGGCAACAAAATTTAGTAACAAGTGTTTAACAAACACCCATCATAATTGCTAAACTATGGAATCAGCATTACTTATATTTGATCAGCTATAAAAAAAAACTCATCAATTTTTCTTTAACAAAAGATAGTAGAAATTATAAAGAACAGGGGAGAAACTATGAAGTAAAGGTCTTGTTTGCTAATACAACACCATAATTCCAGTCTTAGAGCCTCCCAAGTAGACAGAAGGAAGATAGGGGAGAGGCAAGACTGTTGGAAACAGAAAGGAGTTTTGAACTTGTGGCCCCATATCTGCTCTGAGGCAACACCAAGGGTCTAGCAAGGAAGCAATGGCTGAGACGAAATAGGTGAAAGAGCTCTCCAGGGCAGCTGGGCAGAATCCGTGTATCTAAAGTGCAGTTCTGGAGAGTGCCTCAGGAACTAGGTTTCTTCTTAGCTTTGAAGTCCTTTTTGATCTCTCTCTTCAATTATTTTAGCCAGGTTTGGTATATCATAGTTCTGAGCCAGATAAATACCAACCATGTTGCCCAAAGTAAATACAAGCAAGAACTGCAGCATGGTGTCAACGGGGAAGGCTGGGGGGAGGGGGGGGGGAATGACTGGCAAGGAAGGTGATGCAGCTTCTCCTCGGGTCTTAGCTAGCCTCTCATGACAAGGGTGGTACCCACTGTCCATTTCTGTGTCACACCCCACCCCACCTCTCACTAAGAGTCAAATCTTGACTCTTTTTTACTAGTCATATGAACTAGATAATGACTTACCCATTTTTTTTCCAATCCTGGGGCTTGAACTCAGGCCTGGGCAATGGGCACTGTCCCTGAGCTTCTTTTGCTCAAGGCTAGCACTCTACCACTTGAGCCACAGTTGCCACTTCTGGCTTTTCCTGTTTATGTGGTACTAAGGAATCAAAGCCAAGGCTTCATGAATGCTAGACAAGCACTCTACCACTGAGCCACATTCCCAGCCAAAAGTGTCATAGCATATAACCATACAATATATTTCTCCAGTCTTGGGGCTTGAACTCAAGACCTGGGCCTCTTTGTGCTCAAGGCTAGTGCTCTACCACTTAAGCCACAGTGCCACTTCCTTTCCCAATGTTATCCTCAGTTTTCTCACATATAATGACAAAGAAACTGTCACATAGGTTTTTTTACTTATATATGAAAAGTTCTTGAGTTGAGTATCCACAGTTAAGTGTTATATGTGTTAGCAGTTACTAACATTGTTATAAATAGTGTTAGTTGTTACTTCGGAGAACTATTTTTCTACTTTTTCTCTTAATTGTAATTTTTTTAGTGCTAAAACTAGGGCTTGAACTTAGGGTCTTGTGCTCTTACTTGTTTTTTTCCACTCAGGTCTAGAGCTCTACATTTGAGCCACACCTTCACTTCTACTTTTTTTTGGCTGGTTAATTGGAAATAATAATCTCATGGATTTTCTGCCAGTGCTGTTTTCAAACTACAATCCTTAGATCTTAGCCTCCTAAGTAACTGGGATTACAGGCATGAGCCACCAGCACCAACTATAAATGCTTGAAGAGTCTAAATAACAAATGATTATTTAAGGGGCAGGGTAGCAAATCTAAGGACATCTCTCTCTCTCTCTCTCTCCTACTTCCTTATACTATTCCAAGCAGTCAAATTCTGGCACATTCATTTATTTTTTGAGTCCAGTTAACATTGGTTTAGATATTAGATAGAGAAACTCCAATTTCTGGACTATGGTGAAGGAAGGTAAATCTTTTATGTGAGAGATAGGGTCAGTTTAGTAACTATTTGAAAAGATAACAACTACTTTTAAAATTTTAAAAATTAAAAAGGGATCACAGGCCATGTTAGAGATGGGTATTAGTGGAGAGAGGACCAATGGAAAGGACAAATGAAAGTATTGTCAAAGTATTTTATGTATAAAAATACAAAAATGGAACATGCTGAAATTGTTTTAAGAAGGAGGAAAAAGGATGAGGGAGAAATATGGAGGGAATGAATGTGATTTTATATATATATATATGTATGTATGAAAATGTCACAATGAAACTCTTCCTTATACAACTAATATGTGCTGATAAAAATCTCTAAAATGTTACCTATTATTAAATAGCTAAACATACCTGTTTCTAGTTTCTCAAAAGAACACAAATAGCCATTATTTATGTTTCCTTAAATAATTTAAGAAAACTATTGTTACTCCTAACCTCCAACCACCAACTCCCTTGCACTTCACCATTAGCTTATATTCATGGCTGAGGTCTCAGTGATCTTACTAATGAGGCTTGATCAACATTCATTGCAAGTGTTTCACAACCAATTCTCCAGGGAGAGAAGCACTGATTTGTTACCTGTGTAAACCCTCCCACTATGAACTATTTCAAGATACTGATACTGATATGTCTTCGAATTAAAATTTGGGAACAGGGCTGGGAAGGTGTCTCAGGGGTAGAGTGCTTGCCTTGCATGCATGAGGCCCTGGGTTCAATTCCTCAGCACCACATAAGCAGAAAAAGCTGGAAGTGGTGCTGTGGCTCAAATGGTAGGGTGCTAGCTTTGAGCTGAGCAGCTGAGGGACAGCGTCCAGGCCCAGAGTTCAGGCCCCACGACCAGCAAAACAAACAAACAAACAAAAAACAAAAAAAAAACCCTGTTTTCACTGTATTTGATGTTGGTATAATTTGTGGAGGGGAAGGGAAAAAACAAATTGTTTAAATAGAGATACAGGTAGACACATTGCAACAATGAGATGTACAAGACGTTATGTCTAAAAATGAACTTTACAACTTTGGTGTGGGAAGGGGGGGACGGGAGCGAGGTGGGGGGAGATGGGAAGGGATGGGAAGGGGAAACAAAGGAGGAGGTAACAATGCTTGATAAGAAATGTACTCATTACCTTGCCCATGTAATTGTAACCCCTCTGTACAGTATTTTCACAAAAAAAAAAAAAACCCAGTTGGGAACAGTTATGCATAATCAGTTGACATGCATAGTATGAACTGGCTCTAGCACAGTACTGGGTTTTGATATGACACACTAGATAGATGGAAGTAACACACAAAAAAACTACTTGCCTTTTTTGTTGTTGTGTACTTATATGCCCTCTTTTTTCAGTTTTTGTCCCCAAATATGTGCCTTTTGATGTACACTTAACTCTCAAGATACATTTTATCTGGGATGGATGCTCAAAAATTTGTCATAGGAATAATCCAGTGATATTTCCCTGTAGAAAAATATATGGCTATTCACATTGGAGGTCTTCAAAGATTGCTAAAATCATAAATGATACTTCTTTACTATAAGTCCCAATCCCACAGACACTTCCCAACTAGCTTAGTGGTCCTCTCAGTTATCAAGTGTTAATACAACAGAAAATCTCAATGTACCTCTCAAGAACATTGTTTATACACAATGTAGAGAAGACCTTCTTTCAGTGGTTTTTAACCATGCAGATGATATCTGCTAAACCAAACGGCAAAAGCACTTCTTTTCTTCATTAGTGTTTGTCTTTTCCCTTGACTGATTTCAGACGCTTCAAAGAAAAGTGTGTCATGAACAACTATTTTGGAATTGGACTGGATGCGAAAATTTCTCTGGAGTTCAACACCAGAAGAGAAGAACGCCCAGGACAATACAAGTAAGGAAAAGAAGCTCCTTTCTCTGCATGAAATCACAGATTTACAAGATCTTATATGTTCCTACTTTCCCTACTTCTCAGAGAAACAACAGAAAACAAAAGGTTTTTGGGAGGTAAAATGTGTTGGTCTCAAGCTTAGCCTAGCGGGTCAGTTTGTCCCAAATTGTGAGCTTATCTGTAAGGACTCCAATGGCATCCTGAACTTGGAGCTCTTTCTAGCCTATACTTATAGATTAATGTATACATATAGATATTGGTATCATTGGCATGAAATATTAATACATTTAGTGACTTGTCTAGGTTTGTTCTCTCTGCAAGAGTCATGGTAGTAGCTTTAGGCCTATTTTTGCTTGGTAAAGCTAAAAAGTATTAAAAATTCCCTTATTATACCAGGCACAGGTAGTTTATGCCTGCAATCCTAGCTACTCAAGATGCTGAGATCTGAGGATGGTGGTTTGAAGCCCAACTGGGCAGGAAAGTCAATGAAATACTTACTTCCACTTAACCTCCAAAAAATAGAAGTGGAGCTATGGCTAGTGATAGAGCACTAGCCTTGAACAAAAAGCTCAAGAACAGCACCCAGGATACACATTCTCTCTCTCTCTCTCTCTCTCTCTCTTTCTCACACACACACGCACACACACATTTCCTTACTAGTTCTGGGTGTTCCTAACCTGGTTCTACTCATTCATGGATTTTACCTTATCTAGTACTTTTTTTTTCTTATTGTGAAAATACTGTACAGAGGGGTTACAATTACATGGGCAAGATAATGAGTACAATTCTTATCTAGCATTGTGACCTCCTCTTTGTTTCCCCTTCCCATCCCTTCCCATCCTCCCCCCACCCACCCAATCCTCCCTGCCCCACCCCCACCAAATTTGTAAAGTTCTTTTTTGACATAACGACTTGTTCATCTCAGTGTTGCAAAGGGTCCACCTTTTTTTACCTTATCTAGTACTTTTTTTTTTTTACCTTATCTAGTACTTTTACCTTTCCTCTTTTTATCTTCTAGAACCTTTGTACCTTAAGGCAGATATACCCTAAGGCAGCCTCAGAGTACTTGTAAATTAAATATACTTGCCACTGTAACTCTTTCTTTAGAGCAGTTCTAGGATGAAAAGAAAAATTACTTTATCAGATATGTGATAACAAATAGTTTCTCCACGTGGTACTAGTCTTTTTATTTTCTTAGTAGTATCTTTTTGTTTTATTTTGTTTGTTTTTTTACCTGTCCTGGGGCTTGAACTCAGGGCCTGGACACTGTCCCTGAGCTTCTTTTGGTTAAGGTAAGCACTCTCCACTTGAGCCACAGCACCACTTCCAGTGGTATCTTTCTAAGTTAAAAAAAAGTTTTGAATTTTGATGAGATCCAATTAATTTTTTCTATGGACCATGCTTTTGATTCTGTGTGTGTGTGTGTGTGTGTGTATGTGTGAGCATGTGCGCTCGCACGTGCATGCACAAAATAGTGCTTGAATTCAGGGCCTGAGCACTGAGCTTGCTTGCTCAAGGATGTTACTTTACCCCTTGAGCCACAGCTCCACTTCCAGCTTTTTTTTTGGTTAATTGAAGATGAGAATATCACAGCGTTTCTTGCCCAGGCTGGCTTTGAGCTACAGTCCTCAGATCGCAGCCTCCTAAATAGCTAGTATTACAGGGGTGAGCCACTGGCTCCTGGCTGGCTTCTTTTGATAATATTTATTTATTTATTTATTTTTGCTTAACCCAAGGTCTTAAAATTTTGCTCCTAAGTATTCTTGTTAAGTTTTATTGTTTTGGCTCCTACACATAAGTGCATGTTATACTTTCGATTAATCTTTGTGTACATGAGGACATCCTGATTATCTTAGCACCATAGTCTTTGTTTGTTTGGGGGCAGTATTGCAGTTTGAACTGGTGCTTTTCCACTTGAGTCATGCCTACAACCCTTTTGGATCTGTTAACTTTGAGATACAGACTTGCTTTTTGCAAGACCCATACTCTTCTTTAAACTTCCTGCCATAAATGGTAAGACAGGCACACTCCACCAAAACCAACCTTTTCTGATGAGATGGGGTCTGGGAACTTTTTGCCTGGGATGGCCTCAAATCAGTCTCCTAATCTCTACTTCTTGAGTAGCCAGTATTACAGGCCTGGGCCACTGGATCCACCACAGTTTTTGTTTGTTTTTTTTTTTTTAAATCTATCATTTTCCCAGTGAACGGTGTCGATGTCTTTGTCAGAATGTACAGGTCTATTTCTGGACTCTTCTGTCCTATCGATCTATGTGTCCATTCTATGCAAGTAATACAGTGCCTTTATAACTGTGGCTTTATAGTAATTTTTGAAATCAGGAGGAAAACATCCTCCAATCTTGTTCCTTTACCTCCCCCCCAAATTGTTTTGATTATTCTAGTCATTTTATATTCCCATATAACTGTATGTTTTTTATAAATGAGTGAACTAAAATGCCCAGAAAACATTTACTTTAAACCTCATTTCTGTGGCTCTGCTTTAAAAGCTCATAAATGATATCTACCTAGTGCTTGTAAGCTCCCTGCCTGCTTTTAATCAGAAATCCTACAATTAGCAAGGCCCTGTTCTTCCCAACTCCAGTTCAAGTCTCCTGACCTTTTCTTGTCTTAAATTTCCTCCAGTGGCTCCTCTCTAAATTTTTCTTACTAAGCCGAGATCTGTTCTATGACACTGAATTAAGTATTTAATATATTGTTTTTTTTATTTAGAAACAACTTCCACTTTGCCAAAACGTCACTGCTTCAAAATATTACAAAGAACCAGCTGTTTAAAATAAAATTGATCCCAAGCAAATAAAATCTTGTGCTCCTAGAAGGGCACTGTGAGGATAGCTATTGTAAGTCAGCTAGCTCTGCTCATAGATTTTTATGAGCATTGCTATTTTTTGAGCACTGTTTTTTTTAAATATAGCTTGCTTCTTTTAAGTCTGGACCAATACTGGCAGCAAGGAGAAGTGGGATTTTTGTCTATGCTAGTACTGGGACTTAAACTCAGTGCCTAACCACTGTCTATTAGGATTTTTGCTCAAGATTGGTACTCTACTACTTGTATCACAACTCTACTTCTGTCTTTTTACTGGTTAATTGGAGATAAGAGTATCACGGGCTTTCCTTCCTAGGCTGCCTTCATACCACAATCCTCAGATCTCAACCTTCTGAGTAGCTGGGAGTATAAGCATTAACCACCTGCACCAGCTTGAGAAGTGGAAATTTTATCTAGCAACAGAATACTATAGATTCAGAGAAGCTCATCAATCAGTTTCCAGAAGTAGCTAGATGAGAATACCAGTCCTAGTAGACCTCTTCTGACCAGCTACCATCTAACATGATTCCCTCTATAAGAAGGCATTTATGAATAAAATAGTTTCCCTTTCCTTTTCCCCATTCATTTATCTTTATATTATCCTACCTCCTGAGTATCTTTCTCTTCCTTAATCTCCTTATAGTAGTCGCTTTAAGAACAAGATATGGTATGGTCTTCTGGGAGGCAAGGAACTACTGCAGCGGTCTTACAGGAAACTGGAAGAACGATTGCACCTGGAGGTTAGTAGAAATGGAAGTGGTTGAAATCAAACAATGAGACCTGTTGAAAAAGTTTTAATGGGGAGTGAAATGGGAAGAATGATAGAGTAAGGCTGAACAGTATATGATGTATACTGTGTGAAAATGTCACAGTTAAAACCCTCCTTGTGTAACTGATTTATGGTAATTTTAAAAAACTGTCATATAAAAAAGAAACAAGAATGGTCCTTCCTGTGTATGAAAAAGGAAATTACATAGCCTTGGAAACTAACTTTCTCCTATGATCAAAGACTTGATTCTGTGATCCTCACTCACCATGCATGAAAGGAAGGGGAGGGCATGAGGATGAATTTCCTTTTTTGTGTGTGTATGCTGTTCCTGAGGCTATCCCTGAGTGTTTTTGCTCAAGACTAGTGCTGGGCCACTTAAGCTATAGCTACACTGCCAGCTTTTTGGCAGTTAACAGGAGATAAGAGTATTTTCCTACCTGTCTTGGCTTAAAACTTCTTGAGTAACTAAGATTACTGGTGCGAGCTACCAGTACTTCACATATTTCCATTTAAGGATAAGAAAATGATAGCATGAAGAAAAGAGAGGTCTGAGATGTAGCTGTGGCAAAGCACTTGCCTAGCAAGTGCAATATCCTAGGTTTGATCCCCAGTACCAAAAAAGAAAAGACAAAAAAGAGAAAGAAAGCCCTTTCCAATTTCCTTAAATTTCCTTTCACAGGGCTGGGGATGTGTCTCAAGTGGTAGAGCTCTTGCCTAGCAAGCGAAAACCCCTAAGTTCAAACCTAATATTGCCTTAAGAAGGATATTTGGGGCTGTAGGTGTGGCTCAGTAGTAAAGCACCTGCTTTGTAAATGCAAGGAACTGAGTTAAAATCTCATCCACAATATAAAATGTCCCTTCACGTTGGGACATTCCAATGACAAAAGGAAGCATGCATGTAAAAGACAAGTCACGCAAAAGATAGTAACAGCTACTCTTTTTTTTCTTTCTTTCAGTGTGATGGAGAAGTTATCTCCTTGCCAAATCTGCAAGGAATTGTAGTGCTTAATATTACCAGTTATGCTGGAGGTGTCAACTTCTGGGGAAGCAATACAGCAACCACGGTGAGTATGGAACAGAGAACAGGGTGAGAGGAAGGCATGAACCTGGTAGTCTCTCAGAAAGGAGTTAGGATGGCTGGAGTGGGAAATGGCAAATGGGAGAAAAGGAAATGGTCTGGAAATCTTTAACAGCAGCAGCTGTAGGATCATTTTTTTAGACAAATTCCATATCAGAATTAACTGAGTAACTTTTTCTGGGCTGTGGAGATGCTGCTTGATGGTAAATTCTTGGACCCAGAGCAACTAAGTCATAGCTATTTTTTTAAAGGGCAGCACTGCAGTTTAAAATCCAGGACTTGGTACTTGCTAGGCAGGTGCTTTACCACTGAAGCCATACCCACAGGCCTAGGCAACTACCATCCCAGAGCACAGAATTAACTAAATGCTTTAAGATTAGTTTAATTCTTAGGTGATGCCTAGGCTTTTAAATTTCCCACTCCTCAGCCTTGACAGATCCTCAAAAGGTTACAGGCTGTATTCTTTTTCCTAAAGGGGTCTACCAACAAAATCTCCTGGGAAACAAACCATGAACAATTTCCTCTGAACTTACCCAAGAAGGCCATGAGGTTTTGGGTATTAATAGTGCTAAATTGAACAAGGGGAAAAACAGCTTTGAGTTGTCATCTTAAAGGGGACTACAAAGTTATTGCAATATCATTATCCTTTTCCCAGCTTAGCTTCCTCACCTCAACTTTTCCCTTTTTAATAACTTTTTCCCACTCTACATAAACTAGAAAAATATCATCAGGAGTCTTCAAAGCACAATTGTTGGCTATAGAAGAAGTATGGTTCTCAAAGGGGAGAGGGGATGTGACACAGTTCTTCCTCCTTAGGAATATGAGGCTCCAGCAATAGATGATGGGAAGCTGGAGGTCGTGGCAATCTTTGGTTCTGTGCAGATGGCCATGTCCCGCATCATCAATTTGCATCACCATCGAATTGCCCAGGTATGCATGGGGTTGGAGTGGCACCAAGAAGGGGCTGAGTTTTTTGGGGTCATGGGGTAATACCAGAGATTACTTGGGTATAGGAGTTATAAGGTGAAAGAAAGCTGGTTATCTGGCAGACAGGAAAGTGCTGGCTGAGGACAGAGATGGAAATGACAGGGACTAAAGAATAAAAGGTCATAGGAAACAGGTGTTTCTCCTTGGAACAATCTGATTCATAACTTTTCCATTGCTACTTCAGACTCAGGTTGTGACTATGAGATTATCTATATTAGTCTACTGTGATTACTTCATTTTTTTCTTCTTTATTCTCTCTCCTCTTCTTTGGCAGTGCCGCGAGGTGATGATAACCATCGATGGTGAAGAAGGTATTCCAGTACAGGTGGATGGGGAAGCCTGGGTCCAGAGGCCAGGCCTAATAAAGATTAGATACAAAAATGCTGCCCAGATGTTGATGAGAGATCGGGTAAGAGGAGACAGGCCCAACTTGGATCCTGACACTGCTTTATTTATAGCTAGCACATGAGTATGCAAATAAGAACTCCCCTAAAGGAAGTTCCATGCTCCTTGCAACCCAGTCACCTGGGGTGCTGGTTATAAATACATACTTCTAGGTCCCACAGAAGACCCAATGAACAGAATGGAGAGAAGGGGTTCCTAGAGCTTGTATTTTGTAAAGAAATTCCTCAAGACATTGAAATACATAATGACATTTGCAAACCACTATCCAAGAGAAAGATACCAGGGCTAGAAGTAGAGGTGTGGCTCAAGTAGTAGGGTGCTAACCTTGAGCAAAAAAGTTTAGGGATTGAATTCAAGCCTCAGCACTGGCACACACACACACACACACACACACACACACACACACACACACACACACACACACACACAAACACAACACACACAAATTATATTTGATAGTCTTACTCTAAATTCTATCATAATGTATATCCTATATTTGACAAAGAAAGGAGTATGAAAGGTACTCTACTCGCTGGTAATTGTGTCTTCATATCCAAGCTTCTTGAAAGCAATTATCTGTGTAATTTAAGACTGATCTCTTATAACCCAGAGTCTAAACAACAAAAACTAGAAGTACCTAGAACAGAAAAGATTAAATAGAGAAAGGCATAGATGGTATACAGAGGAATGAACAGCGGACCCTGCTTCCTTTTTAACCATTATACCCACACATTACCAACAAATGTCAGACTCAGATCTGTCACATGCCCTCATAACTACAGCAATCATTAGGATATGTCACTGTACCCATCTACAGGACTTTGAGAATTCAATGAAAATATGGGAAAACAAACATACTGAAATTCAAGCTATACCTCAACCCCAGCTGGACTCCCAAGAATCTCAAGACAGCCTCTCTGATGAGGAATATGCCCAGATGAAGCATTTAGCTCAGCTTGCAGAAAACCTCATTAGCAGGTAAGTGGACTGACTAGATACAGGATTAGGAAATCCAAGAAGGAACAGTGTGAAGCAGCCAATTTTTGTCTGTCAGCTACTGGGGAAGTTGGCCTCAGAGAGGTATCTTATCCAATCCTCTGAAGATTAACAGCCCTGAAAATTCTATGCATGAAATATTCTTTTTTTTTCAGCATTTAGCTAGTTTCAAGATTTTTCCTTAGATCCAGAAATAAATATTGATTTCCTCCTGCTGCCAACCCAACAGAACTAAAAATGTTTATCCTTGCCTTTAACTATCAGAAAGGCCTTGGAGTTTCTTCAGGAATGAGCTACCTTTCTTTATTGTAGCCCCTCAACCTATTCAAATTCCTATATCTGTATCTAAATTCAGGAGAAAAAACATAAACAAGGATGAATACTTAGAGAAGAGTAAAAACATTTTCTGTTATTTGTGGCAACGTAGAGAACAAAAATAACAAGAAGGAGTAAAGAGTTAAAATCCAGTACCCAGAGCTTTTATTTCTATACTTTACCCATCAGCATCTAGGCCAGAAACCTAAAGCTTCTAGTTCATCTATCTTTCTTTACTTTATTACAGCCTCAATGACCTGAGCAAGGTCCACCAGCATGTATCTGTCCTCATGGATTCTGTAAATGCCAGCACTAACATCCTGAATGATCTATTTTATCCACAAGACACTGACAGTGAGGCAGCCGCAGTTTTCTGTACTCCCATTGAGGTAAGGGGGAAGGGACAGATGAAGGACAGGAGTCAAATTAGATAAGAAAAGGGTTGAAAGGGAAGGAAGGTGAACCAGAGGTTGTGCATTAGCACCTGGATCCAATGAAGAGAGTAGATGAGAAGGAAGGCATTCCTTGACTTTTTGAAAGGCAAGAAAAAGGCTACTTCCTTAGGGAATCCCACAACAGGTTTCATCCATCTGAGGACAAGATTTCTTTCCCAATAGCTATCCATAGCCTCAGGAAAAAATGTTAATGAGTGGATAGAAACTTAGTCTCAGACCTTCCTTATCCCAGGTGGTTTGCTGTGTAACCTCAGAAGATGACTCTCACCACTGTAACCAGAGCTTCAGAGTGCTTTGGCTTCCCTCCTGTAGGAAAGGTCCAGATAAGACACTTAAGTGTCAAATGTAGAATCTCATGGTTTATCCACTCTCAAGAGATCTAAATGATGCTTTAGAAAGCAACTTTAGGCCAGGCACCAGTAATTCACGCCTGTAATCTTAGACACTCAAGAAGCTGAGATCTTTTGATCATGATTCAAAGCCAGCCCAGGCAGAAAAGTCCTTGTGAAACACTCATCTCCAATTAACCACTCCAAAATCAGAAGTGGTGCTGTGGCTGCAGTTGTGGAGCACTAGTCTTGAGCACAAAGAAGTTCAGGCGCAGCATCCAGGCCCCGAGTTCAAGCCCAAAACCAACAATAAAAAGAGTAACTTTAGCTTTGTATATCATCTTTACAATAAAAAGTCCTTTTGTTAAAAAATAAAGAAAAGTAACTTTAGAACTGGAGGATATTGATAAGTGGTAGAACCCTTGGCTAGAAGGCAAAAGTCCCTGGGTTAGATCTTCAGCACTGGAAAAAAGATAATTTTAAGGCAAGTGCTAGTGGCTTGTGCCTATAATCCTAGCTACTTGGGAGGCTGAAATCTGAGGTCCATGGTTCAAAGCCAACCTGGGCATGAAAATCCATGAGATGCTGATCCCCAATTAATTACCAAAAAGCCATAAACGGAGCTGTAGCTCAAGTGATAGCAAAAAGTTCAGGGACAATGCCCAGATCCTGAGTTTAAGCCCCAGGACTGGCACAAAAATATAGGCAATAAAATATAATAGAGCCAGGGTTTGCTAAAATGTGTGTTGACTATTTTTGGCCATAACTTAGTTAGAGGAGGCCCAGAACCTAAGGCCTATATAGTTGGGCCTAACTCTATTAGGCAGGACTAATCTCCTCATATTTGCTCTCTGGTTTACATATTTCCTATTTTCCTATACCCACTATACCTAATAAAGGATGCTAAAAGCTAAGTTGTGCCGTGCCAATTTATAGGATGCACCTGTACTAGTTAAAGCTAGTATCAGTTCTGATTGGTTGGTGCACTTGTTGTGCTATATTTTGAATATTACTTTTTCATTTAGAGCCCACATCCTACTAGCCTGTTCCTACATTCCAATGGAGAAGCCAACTGCATGCTTACTAACCAACAACTCCTCTGTCTTTGTCCACTTCCTTTCCATTCCTTTCCTTTCCTCCTTCTCTCAGACTCTAAGCAGAAATGACGCAGTAGATGTTACATTTAGTCTTAAAGGGCTCTACGATGACACCAAAGCTTTCCTGGAAGAAAACTTGGTGAGTGCAGGGGGTTGGAGCATGGGAGGGCAAAGCATCCCATGTAAAGATGGAGACAGTTTGTACCTAACTCAAGGGTACTGGAAACATGGGAACATTTTGCCTGCCCAGAAGTTTTGCTTTGTCAACCAGGATTGTCACTGATTTTATTATTTCATAGATAATGCTAAGTCATAGGGATTACATACCCTTGAAAGAAAATCTCTCCCTTGGCAAATTATCTCCCAGGTAGATTAGGCTAATCAAACGTAGAGTGTTGTTCTCTTCATACCTTATACAACATAAAAGAGTGAGTTCTGAGCTGCTTTATAGATCCCAAGTTTCTACATACCTCTTCCTCTATGTACAAAGAAGGCAATTTGAAATAAAGGGATGACTGGAGAAATCTGGGCTCAAATTTTAAACCTGTTACTTAATGCTTATATATTTTTAAGGCTGCCATAGCTAAGTATCAAGAACTTAGAACAACAGAAACGTACTGCCTTGCAGTTCTAAAAGCTAGAAATCCCAAATCAAGATGTCAGCAGGGTTGTACTCCCTCTGAAACTGGTAGAGAAAGACTTTCTTTCCTTTTTCTATTTCTGGTGGTTTGCTAGAAATCTTTGGTGTGTTTTGGTTTATAGCTCTATCATTCTAATCTGTCTTCAGCTTCACATAGCAATCTCTTTGTGTCTGTCTTACTGTCTTCTAAGGACATGAGTAATGTTGAGCTGGAGTCTGCCCTATCCAATATGACCTCAACAATAATTATATCTGCATTGACTTTAATTCCAAATGAAGTCATATTGGGAACTGGGACTTCAACATTTGAGGGGACACAATTCAACTCAAAATACTAGCTGTGTGAAGTAACTTCACATCTCTGGGTATTTATTTCCATAACTACAAAATATGAGTTACAATCTTTAGCAGTCTAGATTGTTGTGAAGATTTAATAAACTATTATAATCTAGTGCTGGTGACTCAAGCCTACCTACTCAAGACACTGAGATAGAAGGATTGTGGTTTGAAGCCAGCCCACGAAGAAGAGTCTGTGAGATTCTTATCTCCAACTAACTAGAAAAATGCTAGAAGTGGAGGTATGGCTCAAATGGTATAGCATCAGCCTTGAGCAAAAAGCCACAAAAGTTCTATTGAAAGAAAAGTAGATAATGAGGAAGGAAAGTAAGGCCAGGTTAGATTGTCTGTAAGACTGTCAGAGTTAAATATATAACTATGTTTCTGTGTTCCAAGCTCATTACCTACTTGAATATAAATAATCTTCTGAATTAGAGATTGTCTTAGAAAAATCTATTTTAATCTTCTATGACATTATTTGGAGTTTATACTGTGGGTTCTGGTGGCTACTATGGAACACTTAAGCTTGGTTTCCCAAAACTATGGAACAAGTCACCTGGAACTTGTTTTTAATTACTAAGAGAAAATGGCTAGGGGTTACAGCATAGCCTATTGAGGCGGGTCCTCTGTCAGAAAGGAAATATTTGAGGCAGTGTATCTCTAGCTCTCTTTCCTCACTTCACAAAATAGCTTTGAAATTATAGAACGTATGTAATACAGATTCCTCCAGCATCTAGCCAACTAGAACAGTGTTGTATGAAAGGTAGGATCTTGAGATATGGTTCTATTAGTCATTTGATCCTGAGCACTAAACTTCTTTGAGTCTGATTTCTCACTTATGAAATGAGAATCAAAGTATCTTGGTAAGTATTATAAAGCTATTGTGGAAGCTGGAATAACATTGTGTGCACAGTGCCTAACATACACCATGTGCTCAAAGCTTGGTAGCTATTATTCTAGAAGGACTCTAGGATGGCTCCAGGAACTTGAGGTGAAGTGTAGGACTCTTGTCCTAGACCCTAAGCTGTAAGGGAAAACTCAGTGCTAATTCATGCTGAACAAAAAAACTTTTACTTGCTAAACTGTGAGCATGCTCAGCCCCAAGAAGAATCCTACCTTTCTTGAAAAAGAAAAAAAAATGGATTATAGACCAAAGGAGCTATAAATTCTCACCCTCTAGTATCTTCCCCACAAGCAGGGACTGGTAGTAGGGAAGAGAACAAGAGTCTATGAAGGCAGGTGCTGGGCATTGGACACTCACTGATTTTCCTGTCTGTACTAGTTGAGAAATGCTGAAGATAACACCACACTACAAAATGCTCTAGATGCCATGAATAGAGAGTTTGAAAAACTATCAGAGATCGCTTGGATGAATCCTATCCTTGTTCCAGAGGTGAGTAACCTGGAAAGTTGGAAATAAAAAGGAAGAAAGGAATTTTCCCTTGATTCCTTACCTTTCCATGTGGGTCCCTACATAGTGCCTGATGTAATAGAGGGAGTTAGTCGCAGCTTTCAACTTCAACCTGGATGGGACATCCTGTTCCCCTTAAGAAGGCAGAAAACATGAAAAGTTAGATAACTAAGGGAAAATAACCAGAAAAAAAAGACCAACCCTATAGCAGGACATGTTCAAGAAAGAAAAGGGATGGACTCCAGTAGGTCACACCCATAATCATAGCTACTCAGGAGGCTGAGATCTGAGGACCTTGATTCAAAGCCAGCCCAGGCAGCAAAGCCCATGAGATTCTTACGTCCAGTTAACCACCAAAAACCTAAAAGTGGAGTGGTGGCTTGTGAGAAAGGAAGAATGAATGAAATAGAGAGAGAGAGAGAGAGAGAGAGAGAAGGAAGGAAGGAAGGAAGGAAGGAAGGAAGGAAGGAAGGAAGGAAGGAAGGAAGGAAGGAAGGAAGGGAGGGAGGGAGGGAGGGAGGGAGGGAGGGAGGGAAGGAGGGAGGGAAGGAGGGAGGGAGGAAAGGGAAAGAAAAAAAGCAAGAAAATGGAAAACAAGGAAGGGCAAGATTGTTTTTTTATGTTATTCTGACTGTAAACTTTCCCTACTCAGTACCTGCTACCAGTGCTTAAAGTTCATCTGGTTCATACCAGCACGGCCATACTAGCTGTTTACAGGCAACAACTGTTTAAGTGATGTTCAGGTCATATTGATAGTTAAATCTTCCAAATGCTATCTCTCCCTGCTGCTTCCGGCCTGTGACCTTGTCCCTGACTCCTGCCACTGTGAGGTTAGCAAGATCTTTCCAGTGCCTGCCTCAGCAGATATGTGGCTTAAGAGAAAATAAAGAATGGCCAGGCACTGGTGGCTCAGGCTTATGATCCTAGCTACTCTGGAGGCTGAGATCTGAGGATTGCAGTTCCAAGACTGCCTGGGCAGGAAGGTCTGTGAGACTCTTACCTCCAATTAACCACCCAAAAACCAGAAGGAGTTGTGGCTCAAAGTGATAAGAGTACTAACCTTGAGCAAAAACAGTTCAGGGACAGTGCCCAGGACTGACAAAAAAAAAAAAAGAATGGCAATAGCATAGTTATAAGGATGATGTCATTTTTGACAACTATGAGTTGTGCTTTGAGTTTGTGCTTTTCTCTAACTTTGAAGAATTATCTGTTTTTCATAAATTAAATAACTCAAATATGCTCACACATAATTAAATTATCTCTGTGTGATCTCTCAGTTTTTCTTAAAAATTCCTTACCACAGAAACATTCATTTCAATCTGTTAGAATCTCTGCCCCCTCACTATACTTCTTTCTGGTTCCAATACCAGTTATATGCATGTGAACAAGCTATGTACACATACTTAGACATGTGTACTGTCATTTTGGAGAACAATCCATATAAATAACATATCTTAAAAATGAAAACATTTTCTTGCATGTTTTTGCTGATGACCCAAGTACCTTAGGCCTTTTGTACTCAATATTCTTGATTAGTAATACTCTGGGGAAAGAAAACTTACTGTTAGAGAGTAAGAAAGGTAATCTCTTTATCCCCATTACATAATTACTTAGTACAGCTATGTCTTACCAAGCTCCTAAGCTAGGCAAATGGGATAGATATTAAAATAAATTAGACAAATAACAGTTTATACCCTGAGATCCTAATTTATATGGGAATCTCCCTGGCCTAGGACATAAGCTCTTTTCTGAGCTCCAGAAGGAGGCTATAAAGAAGATAGGCAGAGGGAAGCCAGCGACTTTGCTGGGGAAAACAAGATTAAGAGTCAATTATTCATTGGGCTTTTCAAGGCTTTGGTGGCAAGTACAGTTTTGTGCCTTTTCTTGAGGTTACTTCTGAAAGGTTAATTCTGAAAGCTGGTATACATAGCCAGAAGTAGTAGTATGGCATAGAGGGTAAAGTGGAAGTCAGAGCAGGAAGAGGAGGAAGATAAGTTTATACTTTTCTCCTAATAGAGAGGATTGGAGGTATAAATAATCCTGAAAGGAAGATGACCCCAATGCCTTGGAATATGTTTGGCTGGATTTTATGGCAAGAAAGTCAACCTCAGATTGTTATGCTGAGACTAATAGCATACTGATAACACTTTCTTAGGAGTGAGACTCAACCAGCAGGCTTACATTATCTGCAAAAAAGAGAGCCCATATTCATAATTAGAGATGTGGTTAGAGTCCTTTGCATTCTAGACTGGAAGTGGATAGCCTGGAAGGCCAGGTTTTTTTCCCTATAGGAGGCACTTGGTTAAGAGATTGAGCAGGGATTCATCAACTGTATGTATGAAAGAAAGAGAGGATTTTTCTAATTCATGCAAGTGTCATGAGCTAGCTAAGATACTGATCGCTTCACACTTCTAATCCCTGGTCATATGATTTCACATGTAATATTTAAATCTCCCTGAACCTCTGCTTTATTTCTAATATAAAAATTATATGAAACACTTTGGTGTATGAGAGTATTTTGAAGCTTATAGGAGAACATTTATTGACCTATCTAGCAAGGTACCTGGCAATGAGTAGGCTCTTGGTAATAATCAATTCTTTTCTCAGGATGTGTCCAGTGAGTAGGAGTGTCTCCCATATCTAGATAGAGAGTAGATCAGCCTGTATTGTGTAGCTCTCCTGTTCACCACCTTACTGGACCCATAGGAATTATTTGGAATGTTAAGTAACTACCATTTCAACCTTCTTCTTGCTTTTGTTTCCCAGGAAAAGTCTTCTGATACTGATAGTAGAAGCTTCAGGATAAAAGCTAAATTTCTCAAATTTGGGAAAAAAAAGCTAGAAGAGGAAGACAAGCCTAAAGCAGCCCCAAGATTCCATGGTTTTCTTGGTAAGTCTCCTCTATAAGCATAGAGCTCATGGAAAAATACCCAGTAGCTTGGGTGCCTCTAAGGAACCTGATGCCCCCATTTAAAATATTCATTGGTGTGGTAGTTATGGAGAATCCAAGTGGTTTTCAATATTAGTTAATGTCAAGCAGTCTCTTAGAAAATGTAAGAGTTAAAAAGTTTTATGGTACTAGTAGGGGGACAACTTGAGAAGGAATATTTCTATGTAGCACAACAATTTCTATGCACAACTGAAAAGAAAATGCAATCAAACAATTATTTTTCTGCTTGAATCATTTCTAAGCATAGGAAAAGGTTAAATTATCCATCTAAATACTTTCTGCTATGTATATAGCCAGTCCTTAGAAATAGGAAATAAAAGTTTTCTACAGATTTGTTTGATTTTGGTTCTATCTTGTCCTCCTTCATAATTGCTCTTAAGCATTTTTGGCAAGTCAATGTGAACTAAAGAAAGTTCTTATAGGTGTTAGTTGTGTTAACTCTGATATCTATAGTCTCTACTAAATCCAGAGCCCCAGACAACCTGAAAACTTATGAGATAATAGCAGTAGCAGGCATCAGAAAAAAGGCTCGATGGTATCAGTTTGTTTTGGTCTTGAAGAACTAAGAGTTCACCCAGATACCAAGAGAGAATATCTTGGAATAAGAGGTATTTTCCCAAGTATGGTCAACCTAGTTTGATTCCTTAAGAATCTGCCAGATGGTATTCCATGGTATTTGAGAGCAGTTGTTTCTAAAGACTGAAAGAACTGATATCTATTCCATAGAATATCAGGCTTTAAAAATTCTTCCCAGAAAAGGATTAGAGTTATCTTGTATTTTGTTTTTCTATTAAAATGTATTTTTTGTCAGTCAAGGGGCTGAACTCAGGGTTTGAGACCTTGTCCTTGAGTTTGTCTGCTTAAGGCCAGTGCTCTACCACTTTGAGCCACAGCTCCACTTCCGGTTTGGGGTGGTTAATTGTAAGAGTCTCATGGACTTTCCTGCCCAGGCTAGCTTTGAACCACATTCCTCAGATCTCAGCTTCCTAAATAGCTGGATTACAGGCATCAGCTACCAGTGCCTGGCTTAAAATGTATTTAGTTTCAAAAACTTCCTTCCTTTTGTGTTTAGCTCATATGGTATCAGCTGGCCTTCTCAATGATTCAGAGACGGTTGATAAAATAGAAGCAAACCAGTTTATCTCCTAATAGAATTTTTACTCTCTTTGAGGTTCACATATTTGAGCATCTGGCAAAGTACTAACCTTATTATTTCCATCCTTATTTTTTTCCTCTGAAGGGAATCTGTGGCATCGCAGATATCGCAAAGATGAAACAAAGGGTGATGATCTTCCAACATCATCAAGTTCTCAACTGTAGCCCTTGAGATCTGGAAGAACTCAAAGCACTTAGAATTCTACTAAAACTCTGAAAACCTCAATATAGGCTGGACTAAATTATTTCTGAACAAACATGAGCACCACCAAGAAAGACCCTCAAATTCCTTGCATTAATTGTCCCTGGACTTAATCAGGTCTCCTTAGAGGTTTATATTTTCTCATTGGCCAAAGATTCTTGTTCTGAGTTGTCTTGTTCAGTTCCCCTTCTCTTTGTGTATCTTGAGCAACTACTACAGTGTGTATTTGGATAAGCTCTTTCTGAATGGCCTGAGGTCTATAGGGATCCAAGGAGGGTACCTCATCAGGGAGTTTGGGAATGGCTTTATCTTACTGGCAGAGAAATTGTTAACCCAAATGAATGAATGAATGAATGAATGACTCTCAGAGAGATGAAAACATAGGGGAAGGACAGCTAAACTTGGTTGAGTTTCTTCCTCAATCCTTGCCAACTACAAATTGAAATTTCAAAAGATGTCCCCTAGTTGGGTCATTAAGATGATCTAGGTCCTGGGGGCTTTTCTGCTTGCCTGCTACAATGATTATTTGAAATCTTTCCTCTCAGACATGAGAGTCAATCTCTCTCACTTGCTAGCTTGCTTGCATTCTCATATTCTGTTCTCTTTCCTTTTACTCTCAACTCTTATTTTATAATCTCTTGCTCTCACTTTTTTCTCTCACATCCTCTTCTCTTACTTTCTCTCTCCTATATATTCTCTCTCTCTCTCTCTCTGCAAATATTTTTCCTTGTGTGCATGTATGTCATTGCACATGTTCAGGTGGTGCTCTGGTGGCTGGGTGGGTGCATTGGTTGGAATTCACCCCTCAGGGCAACCATACAGGCTCCCTTCCTGCTGCCTCACATGCCTCCATGGAGTTTCCCTGCATTTGCGCTGAATTTTTAACTAAATGTTTTGCCGCTGTGCTGCAGTATAGATTATATAGAAAGACATAAAGATGTATATGTATATATAAATATATTTTTAAGAACTGAAAATACAACTCAACCTCTAAGTGACCCTCTAATTTATTGTGCTAACCCAGGAATCTTTCCCTACTCCCATTATTCTGCACACACATACATCTCTGCCCTAGTTCTTGGTGGAGCTTCTAATTTTTGGTGCATTTTTAGTGTCTTAGAAGTAGCTGGGATCTATCTATATCCCAGTTGAATCTGACACCCACTTAAAATTCTGAACCAGGCCACGGAAGGGGAACAAAAATACTAATGTCCTACAGAAGGGGCTAGGAGGGCATATGCTGCCTTTTATGCTTTGTCCTGAATACAACATCAGCAATTGCCCCAATGTATACTGCCCTCTTCCCCAATAAAAAGACTACATGGAGCAACCAGATCTTGAGCTCTGGCTGCTTGGATGCCCAAGCTAGGGACTGTCTTACAATCAAGTCACAGCCTACACTCTTCTCCATATTGACTCAGTCTCCAAATTAACTTCAAAGCTCTCATCTTGTCCCTTTCCCTTGAGTAACAGAGGGCCAATCAGAATGACTAGAAAGAACATGGACCTGGGGAAATAAAAACTTAAAAGTCCATCGTGGTTCTAAAGTACTTGTGAAAACAAACTAAGCCTAAATTGCTCCAAATTCTAAATTGATTTTTTTAATGTATGTTCATAGTCAGACAAATCTACTCAAAACCCACCACCAGAGAGGTTTTCTCTATATTCTTCTTATACCCACACCTCATCCTCAATTCATATCTTTGGAGAAGTTGTCCCTTCCCACTATCAAAAGAAATTCAGAAAACTGGCCTCTCCTCACTTCTCAACTTAGTGTCTCAGTCCCCTGACTCAGTCTAATGGCTGGTTCATTGAGGTGCACAATCCTGACTCAAGCACTGGTTCTCAACTCTAGAAACACCAGCCTAACCCACTTAAACCAGCCACCTGTGTTCCACCTCTGCAGGGGTAAGGAGAAAAATACTAAAAAAAGAAAAAAAAAAAAAAGGAATAGTCTCCAAACGTCTGATGGCTGTGCCAGACCAAAAACAAAGTCCTAGCTCTACAACTAAAGAAGAAAGTCAGTGTGAAAATATGACAGAAAACATTTTTAAATTCATTTAAGCATCAAAATGTGTTAACTTAGAGTATCTGAGTGGGGAGTGTGCTGTTGCTGTGACTTTGGCTTTTTCTGCCTCACTTGTTTTTCCCAGGAGGAGGTATTCAATCTAATTAGCAAGATCTCCATTGTAGTTGACTTGGCTCCTCCTTGGCTGCACAAATTAACATCTGAACACACACTCACAGAGTTGGAAACCAAGTTGCATTCTTCTCAGAGGAACCTTTCCCAAAGGGAAAATTTCCAGACAAACTTAAGGAAATAGAAGGAAGTCTTATCTTAGCAGTGACTAGGCAGGGCTATGTCTTGTAATTATTTTGATCACTGATGATAGTGAACTGTAATAGAAATCCATCTCTTGTGCTTACTTTGCTGAAGTATTTACTATTGATCAATGTGCACTGTAATTCTGATATTGCTCTATTGTACCATCTGGATTCCCTTTCATCCTCTCTGTCCTTCCACCTGAGTCAGAATGATATTGAATCAAACCACCTGGATTTGGGACTAGAGCCAAAAATGGAGCCAAACTATTAGATAACAAGGCCCAGGAGCAGAAATGGCTTGCTAAATCACTCAGCTACCTTCTTGCTGAACACCTGCTCATGTATGTACTAAATTGCACACAAAGCAAGAAGTGATGGTTCTCTTCAGAGAGTTGCCTTGGCCATTGAGAACATAAGCTCCTTTCAGGACTTCATTGTAACTATGATTGCAATAATATGATTGTTCAGGTGGTGGGACCAGTCACCAAACATCCATCTCAGTTATGCCCAGAAATCATTAGGAGCCAAAGCTCTGAGGTTTGGTTGCATCTTTGATACCAGTTGCAAAAGAATTGCTAGGTGGGTAATTCCTGGTTGGAAGAAAAGTAGGGAAGGAAAAAGCTAATAGATTTGAGTTACCACTAATGACTTCTGGTGTCAATACTATAGGAGATAAGCAGTTATCCATAATAGGCCCTGTACTGGATTTTACATACAGGACAAGGGAAGAGTAAGGAAGAGATTCAGGTTAATGATGAAGTTAGAAGAAACAGCTCAAGTCAACATCATCTTCCCTCAGGACACAAATAGAATTTGTTTCATAACAAATAGAAACGAATACCAAAGCAACCAAACCATTCACACCATTCCATCTTATAAGGGACTTTGATTGGCTATATGGTTTGTGGAATTATATTTATTAATCTGCTAATCTGTAATTCATTGTTTTCTTTCCTGTGATTTTGTTTTTGTTGTTGTTTCCTCAGAGGCCTCTGCAAATAAGCAGGGCCAGGGGCTGGCTGGGGGAGGAAAATGGGAATAGTCATGGAATAACTGGAACAAAACAGAAAACAAGATCCACAAAGTGTGCCTATTCCTCTCCCCAAACCCCAAAAATGGAGCACCAGTCCTCAAAGTTAATGATGTATTGCTTCTTAAAATATTTTAATAAATGAATAAATATAACCAATGCCAGTGCCTCATCATTTACTTCAATATGGGGTGTTGAATGGGTAGTAGAAATAAGAGAATGTACTAGAGTAAACTTTCAAACTCTAAACATGTAACTATGTCAAATGAGGCTGGGCAACAGCAAGATTGAACATCAGACTTAATCATAATACTAAAAGAGCTTCCACAAGGAATCTAAAACATAGCTAAAACTCAACACAATAGTGTGGATAAATATCTGCTACTGTAATTGTCCTAGAAGCCAATTCTCTGCAGGATACAGATCTCAATAAATGAATTAGTTGGTAACAATGTTTGACAAGAAAAGTACTCATTACCATACATATGTAACTGTAACCCCTCTGTACATCACCTTGACAATAAAAAAATAAATAAATGAATTAGTTATTAGAGACATGAAGTGAGCCAGGAATACAGGCTAGGCTGTCAAAAGCACCTTGAAAAAATATCTCTATACCTCCATCACACAGTTTCACCATATAGCCTAAGCTAGCTTTGAATTCATGATCATCCTGTATCAACATTACAAGTGCTGAGATTACAGACATAAACTACTTCATTCAGCATTCTAATTTCAGAGCTTTCTAAGACTAATAGTAGTACACTTTCATATGTCAGCTTGTAAAAAAAAGCCAGGAACCTAGGGCTCATGCCTGTAATCCTAGAAACTCAGCAGGCTGAGATTTGGGGATTGCAGTCAGGCCAGGCAGAAAAGTCCATGAGACAGTTATCTCTAATTAACCACCAAAAAGCCAGAAGTAGAACTGTGGCTCAAGTGGTGCTACTCTTGAGCAAAAAAGCTCAGGGACAATGGTCAGCTTTTGACTTCAAATCACTGTGAGTGCTAGAGATGTAGCTTGGTAGTAGAGTATTTATCTAGCATATACAAAGCTCTGGGCTCAATTGGCAGCACCACAAAAGAAAAAAAAAAAGAAAAGAAGAAAGAAAATCAACATTGTGGTACTAGCATAAAGACAGATATCATATAGTAAATGAAAAAAAGGAATAGAATTATGAATTTCAAAATAAGCTTTTGTATTTATAGCTAATTTCCAAAAATGATACTGAAAAAAGGGGGAAAAAACAATTTTTTTCAAGAAAGGGCCTAGAAAAAAAACAACAATATCCACATGTAAAATAATGAAGTCAAGTGCTACCTCAGACATATATCAAAATTACCTCAAAATTGATTTGAAACAAAATGTAACAGCTAAAACTATTTTCAAACCTTATAAAAACATATGTATTAAAAAAATGGGAGGTGGAGTGATGGCTCAAAGTGGTAGAGCACTAGCCTTGAGTGAAAAAGCTCAGGGACAGCACCCAGGTCCCGAATTCAAGTCCCAGGACTGACAAAGGAAAAATAAAAACAAAAAAATTGAAGATGGGGTCTCACTATGCTGCCCACGCTGATCTCAAATATGTGGGCTTAAATGATCCTCCTGTCTTAGCCTCCCAAGTAGTTGGAACTATAGGCATGTGCCACCATGCCCAGCTTCTGTATATATTTTTATTACCTTGAATTACATGATGATTTTAAGATGACATCAAAATTTTAAATGTCAAAAAGTAGATAGAGTTGGACTTTATTGTAACTATAAACTTTTATGTTTTGAATCACACTATGAAAGAAATGAAAAAAAATCTATATAATGAGAAGAAATTAAATATACATATGATTTACATAAGAATTCCTATAATTCAATAACAAAAAGACAAAGGCCCATTGTTTAAAAAACAAGTCCATCACAGGGATAGAGAAACACCCCTCAGCACAGACTCTCCTCAAGCCAGATAGCATCTGTCAGTCTGTCTGTAGAAAGTGAAAGTAAACATATGAGACATTCTGCCACATGTGGGATCCAATCTCTGATGTGGGAAAATGCTAGAGACAATCTGTCTTCAAGCCTTGGTTAGTTCCTATATAATGTATGTGGCAGAGTCAGGCCCATTTGAAACTTAACAAATGTGCCAGAAAGAAACCACCACAACAAGGCCCATTTTTTTTTAAAGAACAAAAAATTCTGGTACTGGTGTCTCATGTCTATAATCTTAGCTACTCAGAGACTGAGATCTGAGGATCAAAATTCCAAGCTAATACGGGCAGAAAAGTCCATGATTCTGATCTCAAATTAACAAGCAAAGTGCTGGAAATAGAGCTGTGGCTCAAGCGGTAGTGTACCAGCCTTGAACAAAAAAAAAACTAAAGGATTTTGCTCAGGCCCTGAGTTCAAGTCCCATTACCAGCACCAAAAAAATTAAAATTTAAATGTAAAAAATTAAAAACACCAAATATTTGAACAGATATTTCTCCAAAGAGGATACAAGAAAGTCCAATAAACTCATCAAATTGTAAGAATGACTTATTAACCATATAATTTCCAGTGATTGTTTTCCCAAGCAATGATTCATTAAAGACCTTTTAAACTGTTTTTCAAAGTGCCTGCAACCATTTTATATCCCACCAACAGCATTTGAGGGTCTCAATTCCTCCACATTCTCTCCAACACTGGTAATTTTAAAAATTTATATGCAGTGGGTGTGAAATTGTGGTTTTTATTTTCATTTACCTGATACCTAATGATGTTGAACATGTTTTCATGTGTGGCACCATGCCCAGTTTCAGATGTACTTCTGCAATAAAGGCACAAAATAGTAAGATTCAAGCAATATTCAGATTCACAGCAATACCTATCAAAGTCTCAATGTCATTCTCCACATAGATAGAACAAATCGAAACTTTCATATTCAAGCATAAATAACCCTAAGTAGCAAATACAGTCCTGAGTGGAAAGGGAAAAAGATTGAGAATAAATTATTCCTAAACACATTGCAACTATTGTAAATAAGGTGTAAAAAAATCTCAGTGAAGCTAGGTGCTGGTGGCTCACATATATAATCCTAGCTACTCAGGAAGCTAAGATCTGAGGATCACAGTTCATAGCTAGCCCAGGCAAAAAAGTCAGTGAGACCTTTACCTCCAATTAACCACCAGAAAACTGGAAGTAGAGCTATGGCTCAAAGTGGTAGAGAGCTAGCCTTGAGCAACAAAGCTCAGGAAGAGAGCCCAGACCCTGAGTTCAAGCCCCACAAGTGGAAAAAAAATCTCAATGAAGCTGAGAAGCTGAGAATGATAGCTCATGCCTGTAATCCTAGCTATTCAGGAGGCTGAGATCTGCAGGTTGCAGTTCAAAGCCAGTCTTATCTTCCATTAACCCTCCTCAAATAAAAAACAGAAGTAAAGCTATGGCTCAACTGGTAGAGCACCAGCCTTAAGTTCAAACCTTAGTACTTTTGTGCATGTGCACACACACACACACACACACACACACACACACACCACACAATCTCAAAGTTGTTGATCAATAAGGGGCATGGAAAGACAAAATGATAGGGAGAGTTATTCTGAACACAATATAATGTATGACCATCTGAAATACCATGATACATACTAAAAATGACAGGAAAGTAAAACAGGCTGTACTGGGGAGAGGGCTGGATTACAGAGAGGGGTGGGAAATGGCCAATAAACAGGGACAATGATGAATAAGTTCTATGGAGTTCATTTGCATGTATGAATAATAGAACACTGAAATGTGGAATTTTTTTCAGAAGTAGAAAGGATGAGGGAAAGTGACATAAAGGGTTTGAACAGGATGTATTACACACTGTATTGTAAGGAAATGTCATTATAAAACCTTCCTTGCACAATGAATGTTAATAAAAATCATTAAATAAATAAATAAATAACCAAAGTAACAAGATTTAGTTCTAGTCCTAATAGCTATCTTAATTCTGAAGTATTGGTTAGTACCAAATAAATTTTGAGGCATGTGCAAACAACAAAAATGACTAATGGTTTCATTAGCACTTAGAGTTGAAAAGGGAGGATAACTAAGTTGATTTTTCTATAATATGAAGCTCCAAAATTTAAAACGCAGGAGAAAGATACTTATTTTTAGTGAGGTTGCAGATTTACAAATCAGCTTTCAGTTCTATGCTTTTAGGACAGTTCTTCAAAGTTAGGTATGCCAGCAGAATCACTGCCAAATAGCTCAGATCTCTCTGGTTATACCCTTTAATTATATTTCAAAGTGTGGCATGGGGCAGGAGGGAGCCTAATGGTACCTGGTCTTCAAAGCAAAGCAAGTTGTGAAGGGTAATAGGAAAGTAATTCGAAATGGACAGAAAGCACTGAGATACCCAGATTTGTGTGTGTGTGTGTGAGAGAGAGAGAGACAGAGAGACAGAGAGACAGATAGAGACAGAGACAGAGACAGAGAGAAAGAGAGCATTGGCACCTAAATTCAAGGCCTGGGCACTGTCCCTCAATGCTGGCACCTCTACTACTGGAGCCACACCTTCACTTTAAGCTTTTTGGTTGTTATTTGGAAATAGTCTCACAGATTTTTCTTTATGGGCTGGCTTTAAAAATTGACCGTCAGAACCAAGCCTCCTGGGTAGCTTGGATAATAAGCATGAACCACCAGTGCCTAACTCCCCAACTACTTTTCATCCTTATACTCCTACCCCCTATTCCATCAGAAAAAGTGATGTGACCAGCATTATATGGGGAGTCTCAAGCCAGAATTGAAGAGGTATTTCTCCATAGTATCTTCATTGATGTCCATCCCAAGAATAATATTCAAAATATTTGACAGGTGGTACCCAACAGACATAGACCAATCAAGACAGTTGCCACTCACAATACTAGATTCTTTACAGTAGAATGCAATGATACACACCTGTAACCACAGCTATTCAAGAGGATGAGACAAAAGAATCAAAAGTTTAGTGCCAGCCTGGGGAAACTTATTGTGATCTTATCTCAATATAAAAATACAAACCTAGCTGCTCAGGAGGTTGAGATCTAATGATCATGGTTTAAAGCCAGCCATGGTAGGAAAGAAAGTCTATGGGATTCTTATCTCCAAGTAACTATCAAAAACCCAAAAGTGGAAGTTTGGCTCAAATGGTAGAGCATCAGCCTTGAGCAAAAAAAAAAACACTAAGGGACAGTACCCAAATCCTAAATTCAAGCCCCAGTACCAGCACAATTAAAATAAAATAAAATATAAAAGGCTAGGGATATAGCTAAGTGACAGAGAACTAGCCTATGCAAGGCCCTGGGCTCAATCCCCAGCACCATACATACAAAAAAACGGAGTCCTAAAGGTCTACTGCTGGGTCAAACATTACTTGTTGTCTATGAGGAAGTCCTAGAAAAAGAATGAAAAAGTGGCTTCTGACATAGAGGATGTTCAACTTCTAGCAAATGGATGTAACTATCCCAGTACACATCACTCTGAAGATTGGATTGAGAAAGACAAGAGATTCCTTAGGTTTTATGAATGAAATATTGGACAAGTAGTTGATACTTGCATTTGTGGGACATCTTGCTCATTTCACAGCTAGATATTCCTTGTCTTAGCAGAAGAGCAAAAAAAAAATTTTTAACTCTAGAGCTTCAGACTTTAAAAAAGCTGCCTAATTATGAATGTGGGGCTACATGTGGATTCAAATCCTTACCCTACTTTTCATTATCAAAGAATTAAAGAAATTTAGCAACTAGAGATTAGGACCAACTAGTATTTGCCCTATAACACTATCAGCCACTTTAGCTCTGAACACTGAGGACTACTTTGTGCATGGGGGACAGCGAGGTAGAGAGGGAGATGCTTTCTTTTCAAACTGAGCACCATTCATAGGATCTTCCTTCTATAGACCCATCTAGCAATTTGTACTTAGTGTGATTTCTCTTCCCACGGCAGGAAAACTTTCAAAGAACTGAGAAAACTAGTTAAGCTAGTCCTTGAAACATAGCCTTTACAGGGCAGGAAAATTAAGTGCTTTAGTTATACATGTTATTAATTGCTTTAGTTATACATGTTATTCCTGAGCAATAAGAGGGGGAGTGAGATACTTTAATAAACAGTGTTTTTATTGAATTTCTAGACAAATATGACAGCAATGTCTTCTTTTCATAAAACATTTAGATACAACATTGGAAATTTGGGAAAATATAAAACAAACTAGGAAAACGAGGAAAGGTAAACAAATGACAAATTCAAGCACAGAATAAATCCAATATATTTGCTTTTTTTTTTTTTTTTCTGGTAACAGGCTACTGCCAGAGTGCCAAGACCTCATTCTTATCAGTCAGTGTGTAAAATTTCCTCCAGGTCCGCCATTTCCAAGGGGCCTATTTTAGCAACTTCATAATATACCCTGCAAAAAGAAAGGGGGCTTGGTTCAGTGTATAACAGGCCAAACAGACTTCACTGACAAAACATAGTGCACTTGGTTTCCTATCTTGTTTTATCTCTAGAGTTGAAAGAAGGTTGAAAAGTGTCTGGATCCTCAAGTGAGATACCTCTTACCCTAAAGTTTTAAAGCTTTCCCATAAATGAGCACAAATACAACGTGGATAGAGCTTGGTACTTACTGGCTACAGTACTTGTTATACACAGTCTTGAACTCGCTGTACGGTTGTAAAGTCACCAGTACATTCAATTTCCTGACCAGACAGCGAAGGTCAGAGACCTTATAGCCACTGTGATGTTCCAGAGAACGAATCTAGAAGAAGCAAAAACAGTTACTTCTACTATAGTAAGTATACCTTACCTCTATCTATGCTGTTTCAAGTTCAAACTCCCCACCTGTGGTTTAGGCAGGGATGATATTCAAAATATTGCAAAAATTTATACAGTATAGACACTAACCCATAATTTAGGGTAAAGGGAAAGGAAGCCTTTTTCTGCCAAGTGTCATTTGGATATTTATAATACTATTTGCAGACCATACCAAAGTTATCAATACAGGCTCCAGGAAGACAAGCCATAAAAAGCGTACATGTTAGGCTGGGAATGTGGCTTAGTGGCAGTGTGCTTGCCTAGCATGCATGAAGCCCTGGGTTCGATTCCTCAGTACCACATACATAGAAAAAGCTCTGGCGCTGTTGCTCAAGTGGTAGAGTGCTAGCCTTGAGCAAAA